GTTTCTCAAATTCTAGTATCTTCCAGCTTATCTCTTTTTTCAGTTTTAGTGTAAGCTTTTCTTTCTTATTTAACTAATATTCTTCATTATTGCTGTTGCCTTGTTTCTGAATTGCTTACAGCTTCTTCAGTAGTTATAGATAATATCTGCTGTTCTTTTCATCTTAATGAATAGAGTAATTATCTTCATAGCAAAAGCTCCAATGAATTCTGATGTAGTCTGGATGTTTTACATATGAGATATTCTGTAAGTCTGGCATTTTTCATTTTTTCTTCTCAGTGTTACATCTGCAACACTGGTAATTTTTAATGTTGCAACTATAGTCTTCATAATACATGAAGTCTTTCATAACTCATGTTCATCATTTAAACTCTTCTTGTTGTTTCTGGTGAAGTTTACATGAACATCTATAGATTAAGTATTTGGCATGTTTCTTGTATTTTAAGTCTTGAATTTTGTCCATTTTTTATTCATAATAATACTTACAGTCAAGTGGTCAAATTTTCCAATCATTACTTGGTTCATTTCTTGTTTTCATATATAGTTCTTCACATAACTTCTATTTTTCATCATCTAGCTTGTTTCAGCATTTCAGTTCACTTTCTGGCTACTGAGATAGCTTTAGATAAGCTTTCATAACTTGTTCTTTAAATATCTTTCTGAACTGTTATTGAAGTTCTTCTTCAGTTTGCTTTTTCTGAGTTATCACTCAGAGATACTATTTTACTTCAGAGTCTTCTTTATTTTCTTTTGAGATTGCTCTGAGTTTCTTATCTTTTTAATCTGACTTCTTTATTCTGCATTGTCTTACTCAGTATTCTGGCTTGATATAATAGAAGTATAGTTTTTTCTTTTTTCTTTATTCTTTCTCTTTCTCATCAAAAGTGTTAAACTTTATTGTGTTCAGCTCCATAGGTGTATGTCTGTAAGAATCCAGTTGTACTTGCTTGTTCCAGTCTTAATTTTCTATATAATTTAACAGGCTGGCTCTCTTTCATAATGCTTTTTCTTGTTTTTTCATCTTTTATTTATAAAGTTGATTTTTAATTCTGACTGCCACTTCAATTATCTTGATCAGAATGCATGATCATTTCTCCAATTACACTATTTTATTTTTAATCTCATTAAATAGTTCTTGATAGAAAATGTCAGCTAAGACTTCATTGTTCCAATTAGTATTGATACAGACTTGCTGGAATCTTATAGTATAGTCTTGTGGTGATATCTTTTGTTATATGATGTAACTACTAGACCATCACATTTTATTTCTCAACTTGTCTAAAAGTGGTTTTCAATATCTGAATAAAGATATTATAGCTATCAATAATCTTGAGCATGTTATCATTCTGATTGACTTCATCTTTTTTATAATAATTTTACAGATAGATATCAAACTAATCAAATGCTGCTTTATAAAGATATGATGCTATTATTATTATCTTGTTCTTGTTACTGTTAAGTTCTTTGTCTTTTATATTTATATAGATGCATAGTTAACTCAAGAAAGCTTATAGTTTTCTCTGTTCACTCTTGAAGAGTTCTGATAAGTTAACTTTGACTTTATCTTTCTTTTTCTATTGTCCAGTGAATGGAATGGCCATGATCTGAACCTCAAGCTGCTTATTATGATCTTTTAATTTACAGTTCTGCTCTCCAAGCTTCTCAGTAATCTGTTCAAGCTGCAAGATTCTATTCATAAGATCTTGAGCATTAACAGCTGATGCTTTAAATGCAGATATAGTTTCTATATTCTGTTAGATCTTGACATGAGGTGAAATCATATCTTTATTTTTTAATGTGATGTGAAAAGTTCTTTCTTTATATATAATCTCTGAAGCCTCAGGTGTATTCTCTTCTGAGTCAGAGATAATTAATGTATTATGTATTTGTGTGACACTCTTGAGTCTTTAAAGATCAAGAGATATCACAGTAAGTAATAATAGATTGGGATAGTGATTAATAGTTCAATGGTGCTTTTGATTGAGCTGGCAGTCTTGCTCTAATGATAAAAGATTTCCATGCAGGTATGACAGAGTCAGAGCAAGACTATAGGGTCTTCTCAAGAGTAGCAGAATCAGATACAGTTGTACAGTATCACAGAACTTCAGTAGTATGAAAAGTAATCAAGATATAAAAGTATCTGATTCAAAGATATCTAGTAAATAAGTAAGAAGATTGATCATGATGAACAAGTCTATCAGATCTCTGGTAATAAGCATTCTTATATATATAATGCTTCTCTGGTGATAGTTCTGCTAAGCTGTCCTATTCATTCTACTACAATTTATTTGCTATGTCCTTCAATCAATCCTATTGTGCTTGGTGTGATTGGTCAGCTTATCAGTTCTATTGCTGGTCACATGATTCTCACCTTAAGGTTCTTCTGCAATGGTCTGTAATTCCATCTTGTCAGGTGTCATCCAATCATTCTGTGTGTTTTGTTGTTGTGCTGTAGGATTCATAACAGATCTGCAATCAAGAATGAAGCTGTTCTTTAGAAAATATGATGGCAGGCAAAATTCTTCATCTAGTTGTCAGAAGGCAATGTTGAAGGCTGTATATGATAATGCAGTCATGAAGATTTCACTCTCTTTCAGAATTCTGGTCTGTTAACTAGCTCTTGTATCAGAATCTTTGTTCTTATCTTCCTGCTCTATCAATCCCTTAATCAACTCTTTTACTCATGGTTTTTTCAGCATTTCTTGAGCTTTCTTCTCAATCTCTGGATTAGCTTTCCAATTTGCAGACTGCATTCTTGAATTGTAGTAGGAACATTGGTCAAAATAGTGATATGCTCCACACACACATACAAAAGATCTTCTCTGACTGTCTTCTTTTCTTTTTTGACTTTTGTCTTCTGCTGGGGACCTTTCTTGTAAGGGTGCAGCAAAGAAACTCTCTGAATGCTGAGGCTTCTTTGCATTTCTCCAGTATCTCAAGAAGAATCTTAAGACTTCATCATGGCTTGGGTAGATCTCTGTGTTTGTGATTTGCAGCTGTTTCCAAAAATATGGAGGTTTATCAGTAAAGCCAGCAAAAATACTGTATTGTGGTGAATGGAGCTAAGCCTAAAGAAGAAATAAATCTGGATTTTGTAATTAATTTTTATTGTGGATTTGAGAGATTTGGAAGCTTTGGATCTTTGTGGCTCTTGCTTGCTGCTGGAGCTCATTGCATGGGGGGTGTTAGGTAATCCAACTAGCACTTCGCTCACGTGGCCCACATAGATTAGCTGAGATTCCCCTTTAGGTAGCTTAGCGAATGACAAGCATATAAGTCCTCCATCAATAACTTCATCGCTCTGGATCAACAATTTTCCATCCTGACTAAGCTTTACTCCGTAACTAGTTAACTAGTTAAACTATCTTATCTGATCCTCAGCAGGCGGCGACCGGAAAAAAGAACCAAAAAAGTTTCCGTCGAACATATTGAGAGACTTTCAGCGAGGCGCTCTTTACAAGCCAACCTCGCAACCACCGTCATGGCGTCGCCTCCATTCAAAGCTGTTCCCCAGTTCTCACTGTCCAGCGTACTGGGAGCACTGACGGACTCCATCTCCACTGCCCTTTCTTCCCTACCGTCCAATACACCCCACGAGGAGTCCGGAGACGAAGCGTCCATCCTCCCCCCGGTGGACGGCATTTCCCTCTTAGACACAAAAAATGAGATCCTACTCTCTTACCTTCAGAATTTAGTGTTTCTCCTTCTCCTGCAGGTCCGGCAGGTGTCTGCCTCCCAGCCCGCGCCGGGCACCACACGCCACAATGTTGCGGGTTCTCAGCCTGACGAAGTGATAAAAAAATTGACAGAGCTACGCGTATACCTCGAAAGGGGCACCAAGCCTCTCGAGGGCAAGTTAAAATATCAGATCGATAAAGTTTTAAAGGCAACAGACGACGCGGAGAGGGCCCAGAGAAGCTCTCTAGCAAAGAAGCCACGCACCCGGCGAGAAAATATAGGAAGTGACGACGACGACAACTCCTCTGCAGAGAGTGATTTCAGTGACGAAGGCACAGAACTAGACAGCGAAGAGGATGAAGAGATCGACGAACTTGCCTATCGGCCAAATCTCGCTGCATTCTCGAGAGGTGCACAGGACACAGCTGAAAAAGCAGCATCTCAAAAGTCGAACGCCGCCGGTGGCATATATCGACCTCCAAAGATTAAACCGACTGCATTGCCGGCAGAGTTCTCCGATCGCCGTTCCGATCGTGAAGGTCGCCGGCCCGGTAAATCTCGCGTCATCGACGAATTCGTGAGCGCAGAGATGTCTGCTGCGCCAACGGCAGAACCCAGCATTGGCAGTACGATCAGGGCCGGTGGAAGGGAAGTCCGCACGCTGCGCCAAAGAGAAATTGAAACCGAGCGGCGAACATACGAAGAAACCAACTTCGTCCGTCTACCAAAGGAGAGTAAGAAAGATCGAGCAAAGAAAGGGGGGAACAAACAAGGCGGTTTCGGCGGCGAGGATTGGAGAAGCCTCGGAGAGGGAGCAGATCGAATTGAACGCCTCACTCGTCGGGGTCGAGGAAGCGGCGGGGTGCTAGAGAAGAGCAGGAAGAGACGGCTTACGGAGGATGGGCCTCGCGGTGATGGTATCAATGTCGGCGAAAGATTCGAGAAACGACGGAAGAAAATTGCGGGATGGAAGAAATAGCCCTTCTTTCTTTTTGTCCGCCTTAGACCTCCCGATGCTATATGTATAATACTCTTCTGGCGTTTGCGGCACTTATGTTCCGTTGCAATATTGAAGCATTTAGCGAATAGACCTATTCACCGGATCTGGGCCGCAAAAAAGAAGATCCATCTGCTCTTCCTTTTTCTCATACAGCCATCACTTACTATTGTGTTCGATCTCGTTAGCGAGGGAGTTGGATAATTCGCCCTGCCATAGGTACCATTCGATGACATCATTGCCATCCATGGTGTGAAAGACGCGTTAAATGACCTCGACGGAGTATAGATGGCCAGCACAGCGATAATAGCTCTGTATGTTGATCATGGAAGACCCAGGTAAGTTCCCTTGTGCGACGGGGAAACGCCTCGACATACCAGTTTCTAAGCTCCTCTCAGTCGTGGAAATCCGTCATGTCGTCCATTTGCTTACCCAGTCCACGCCATCCGTCCAACGGCGCACGATCGAAAGGTACTATACACCGTCGGCATCGTTTATACACCCGTTCTGTCGCACTGGGTCATTTTCGGGCAGTAGGTGGTTGATCATCTGGATATATCGGTTTTACAAGATCATGTCGCCTCATATTGACCTGAAAGTGGAGTCTGTGGGTGCGGCCTCCCCGTCCACCCCCCCAAAGCATCGACGATAGGCTGATGGTTGATTATTGTATAGCATTTGATGCCGAGAATTTACTTCTATACGTAACAATCTCACAAGTATTCCGCATCTTTTTCATACCGTTCTACGTCGCACCCGTCACTCTCACCACTGTACTTACGCTCACCACTTCCCGGTCTAGTCACGATAATCAACATCGTGACAGGGATACATTACTCTCAGCCACCACCGCCAACAGTGACCGCGACAATGACGACACCTTATCCCACTTGCAACCAGGATCCGTCGCTGCCTCGGATCCTGGCCAAGGCTCTCCCGAATTGAGTTCCCAAACCTTATACTATATTTCCGTCCAGAACGACCTTTATCAAACTTCTGAATTCATAAAATTTATACTTCCGTTCGGCATAGGCAGCATACTTGTCTTCTTATGGCACTCGCTGGCAACATTCATCAGCGTGGGATGTGCTCTTATCCTCTGGCCGATTACTTTTGTGGAAGAGCCTAGACTGTGACCCGTTTCCTAGAAATGGAATGTCAGCGCCAGCGTAGATCTATGATCATTAAGGGAGGGAGGTTTGTACTGATATTAATTTTATATACTCCGTACAGATGGACTTTATATTATCATCATTATTAACAAGTAACTGGCTCCGCAGCATTGATTCCACTTGTATGATAATATGCCAAAAATGAACCTGATCTATGCAAAAATATCACCAAGGTATTCATCATTCCTGCACATCATTTTCACAGTCCATATTCAATATTAAATCTTAAGAAAGAAAGAAATTTGGGTTAACCATGGTTATCCCATGTTATTTCAAATGTACCTCTTCTATTAGCCCTTCCTCTGTTTTGACTACAGCCATCGGCAAAGCAACCCCGATGCCCATAAAAACAAAAAATGCCCACTTCCACCTAAATGGGTTAACTAAAACCACAAAGACAAACCAATACAGGAGTTCGGAATAAGTGAAGAAATCAAAAGCTCCAGTGGGAGCAAAATTTTTCAGAAGTCTTGTCATATCTATCCAGCGCTTCATCCAGAAGTCCGTGGGGCGGGTCAAAGGGTCCACAAGGAACATGAGGAGCATGCGAGTGTAAATACCAATGTGGTAATTGCCAGCTGTGGCAATGGCATGGATATATGTGCTGTTGTTTGCACAAATACTAGGGAAGCCAGGCGGGAATACCTGGAGATACCAATTAGGAGGGCCATAGGGGGACTTGAATGCTTCCGACGGGAGGAACGAGAGCGACGGCCTGGTAAATCCGGTCGCCATTATGATGATGTCCCCCTCAACGAATATATCGTGGCCCGGTCCAGACTTGGGCACGCCTCTGGCACGATGATTAAAGCGGATACCATTTTTGGCCACGGTGACAACATCGCCTCGAAGCCAGCGAGCTTTACCTTCACGAATCAGCTGGAATAACTGCGAGTTGACGGCAGGCGTGTCCATGAAAACCCCTTTATCGGAGGGAGAGATATCTTCGAGATCACGGTAGAAGAACTTCCGAAGCAAGGTTTCAGGAATCCACGACAAACGGGTCTCTTGACCGAGAATATTGCATGCCAGTAGGACGTCAACGATGACATTTCGCGGGATAACCCACTTATCGGAACGAGAGAGCACGTCAATTCTAGCAGCACCAGCCTCCACAGCCCATTCCAAGGCTTCAATGGCACTAGCGCCACCTCCGATCACCATAACGCGTTTACCTTTGGCGTCTTTTCCATCCAGATTAGACGAATGGTATATTTGGCCTCTGAAATTCTCCTGGCCTGGAAGCGAAGGCATCTTAGGGTCACCACAGCTGCCAATGGCGGCGATGACCCCATCAAAATTGCCATATTTTGATTCAGAATCGTTGATGACCCATTTTCTGTTACGATTTTGCCTTAGAGACTTGACTGGTGTATTAAATAACGTGCGGTCCTCGAGGCCATACCGGTCCCACAGGGAGATAATTTGACCCTTAATCTTCTCCTGCTTCGGGTATGCACTCTCCCATCTGACTGACGGATGGAATCGGAACATGATGCTGTGAATCTGAAGGGCGGAAGTTGTATTTACTCTCTAGCAACAATCAGCCATCGACCAATATGAGAGTGTACTATGCTCGCGAGCGGCGTACACTCCAAATACCACCTAAACCCTTTGCCTTCGAGCGAGCCTCGAAGATCTGGACATCGAAACCATGGCCCACGCAATGAGCAGCGGAAGAGACACCGGTCAGGCCGGCACCAATGATGGCAACTCGGGGACGCTGGAGCTTCGCACCCTTATTGGGCGGCGGGGGGGTGGGAGCGAAAACAAGGCTCAGGATGTCCTGTAAGGAAACGTAGAGTACAACGAGTGGATAGCTGACGGCCGTCCAAAAGAGGCGATCGAGGGTTTGGAGCAAGTTCATATTGCTAACACAGATGATATGAGAGAATGACAGCGGTGGGATCAGGACAGGCGCAATAGTCGCAGGTTCGGCTACAGCATCGACGCGGTCTAAAATCCACATTAAAAAAATTGAAAACATTAAAAAAACGGAAAAAAGAGGTAAAGCATAGTAATATATAGAGAAGCGCCTCTTATCTCTACAAATTGAACAACGCCAGGAAGAACGTCATCCGGGCTCCAGAGCGATGACGTTATGATGTCTGGATTCGCTTGTTCCACGCCCGGCTGGCATCGCTTCAGTGGGAATGCGGGTGGAATTGACTTTCCTAGAAGAACGACCGTGTTTGTCAATGGTGGAAGAGTATCATGTTGCTGCGAGAGATTTTTAGTTGAAAGGACTCCTCGTCGGAAGTTGTGGTTTTAAAAGGACTCGAGAATCTTTTTGTTGGCGGAGACTAGGGAAAAGCGGAGAGTGGAATTTCTTCACCGACCCCATTATCGCTGGTTTCCATCTCACAGCTATTGAGCCAACCTCCCACGTCGACCTCTAGAGAGATACGTTACGTGTCAACCCACTGTTCGCGAAGTATGCATCCTTCTCGAATTTGTTAAAGCCGGCAAACCCCAGCCCTTTCTCGCTGCACCAAACTTCGACAGCGATGTGGAACTCGCCCGCTCCCGAGACTCCGGTCTTCAACAACTTTCTCTCAGGCCTGCAGGAGATCATCCGGGCCCGCGATGGCGCAAAACTTCAGGACTTTCTGCAGCTCGAACCTCCCCTGGCGCCGATCTACAACCAGATGGTCGATGAGTTGCGGCAGGCCTATCCCAGTGCCTCTGGCAAAGACGAACGCCTGCTGGCCAAATGCGAATCCCTGCTGCCCGCTTCGGCATCGACAAGCCCTTGGAGCGCGTTCCCGTTGTTTATGCGGTTGTACTTTACGTTCTTGAGGGATGTCAACCTGGATAATCTACTAGAGACTTATGAATTGCTGAGAACCCTGTTGAAGTACGGGCCCTCCCATTCACATGGACTCTGCTTAAACGGCTAACGACGCGTCCCCGGCAGCCAGTGTATCGTCGCGCTCGGCGACAGCCAGTATGGCGTTATTCTCCTCCCAACTGTCCTGTACCTCTGCAAGGTTCTCGCAAAGTTCGCAATCGGCCTTGACCGTCGACCAGAACTTATTGCCCACTTGTTACGCGAAGGAGCCGACGCGGAGGGTGCGACGGAGAAGGTTACACTTGTGGAAAAGTCGGCCAATGTTGTCAGAGAGGCGTTTATCAGGTGCTTAACAGACCGTACCGGGACTCTGGGCAGACCAGAAGGAAAGAGAATAGGCATTTACCTCCTGGCGAACCTGTGCCTGAAGCTCTTGTTCAAGGTGAGACATCGATTTGCTACGGTGAATGAAAGTTCTCTGCCCCCTTGCTAACGGTATCCGTCCAGTGCGGCAAGCTCCGGAACGCTGAACAGATGTTCGCGAGTATCAACGCACAGTCCCCTCCGCTCTCCTATTTTCCTGCCTCGCAGAGAGTCACTTACCTCTACTACCTCGGGCGATACCTCTTTTCCAACAACCTCTTCTACCCAGCGCAAACCGCATTGCAATCTGCATACGACCAATGCCACAAGCAAGCCGTGAGCCAGCGACGTTTGATTCTGACATACCTAATCTCGTGCAATATTATCCTCGGACGGTTTCCTTCCATGACCCTTCTCCAGAGACCCGAATGCGACGGCCTCGGCGAGAGATTCGTACCATTGTGTCAAACCATTGCGCGTGGCGATGTCCCGGCATTCCGTGAACACCTCGCGGTGGATTCAACTAACGCGGATTGGTTTGCACAAAAGGGAATATTATTGCAACTTCGAAATCGATGCGAAATCTTGGTCTGGCGTTCGCTGGCGCGAAAAGTTTTTATCTTTGCCGGCTTTCATGGCAATCCAAATACACAATCGCAAAGAGGTCCCCCGCCTTTCCTCTATTTACACAAATTTGAAGCCGCCATTCAATGGCTAGAGTCCCGGGCAAAGCAGCAGCGCCAGGTTGCAGCCGCGAGGAAAAGAGACTCCGGCGGTGAGCTTATCTCCTTCCCCGCGGATTCCGATTTCAACGACGGTGCTTCCAATGGTGATAATCTAGCCACGGATTCGAATTGCGACGACTACATAAATCCTGCCGGGTATTTTGACTCGTCGGGCGAATGGGTTGATGTCAATAACCCACGGGATCTGCCTGAGCCCGATCTACACGACTCTCACCTGATAGATGACGGCTCCGGGGAAACGTTTGCCTATATTGTCAGCACTGAGCAAGACATCGAAACCACCGACCCAGAAGGTCCATCACCCCTCATGCATGATCTAGAATGTATACTCGCTTCTCTCCTCAACCAAGACCTCATGCGTGGGTACCTTACGCACAAGAATCCACGATACGCTATCCCCGGGTCACGGGTGAAAGGTGCACTTCCAACAGGATTTCCGAATGTCTGGCAAACCATCTACGCTCGAGAGAACGAAGATGACCAGGTTCCCGGTTGGGTCAAACCGCCAAATCCGTTCTCCGGAAGGGCCAGCGGTGCCTCTGCGGGAATGGGCGGCCGAGTGGTCAATCTGAGCGGTGCGAAGCCTATCAGTGCCATGACTGGATAAAGATGGCCTCTTACGGAGAGGAAGATTGGTCCAGAAGTTCTTACATCGTGCGATGTGGGTAGATCCGATTGGGCGTGAAAATGGTGTTCCTGCATACGACACTCTGCATCTCTTCAAGGCGAACGTGGAAATTGCATAGCGTGGATGATACCCAGACTGTCTACGGAGTAGTTAGTTTTATATGAATATTAAATCTTCAAAAAAGCATTTTGCCGTCATTGCTATAAGATCAAATAAATGTGTACTGGACAACGGACTAGTCTCGAATCAGCATAGAGGGAGAGCGCCCAGCCATCTGAATTTGGCCTTTGAGCTCATCGGAACACACAGCCCCAGGGTGAAACAGAGAGAGCCTATTAATAATTAGTTTGTCAAATCTAAAAGCGAGTCGTGTTTTTGCAGTCCCGCATAATCATGGGCCCATTCAGACTGCACAGAGCTTTGAGCGCCGGCATGCAACAATGTCTCAGATTCTAAGACGGGTTCTACCCGGGTCTGCACGCCCGTTTTATGACAAGCGTTTTTTTTTTCTTCTTATTATTTTCGGTTTTCCTTCCCTTCCCAGGCATCAAGTTACTATGCCATTTTCTCTTCACACGGTTTTCAGAGACTTTCAGATCCACTCCGCCACGGCCGTCGCTCGTTAACTACTAACCTACTACAATTATCCGCCTGTTGCAATCCCCAGCCAAGCCATATTCGTTTCCCAAAATACCCTCACCATGCGCCTTAACTTCACGGCAACTCTGATCCTCATTAGCGCATGCATACGCGGTGTCTGTTCTCTGTCGTGCGCGTCGGATTATGAGCCATGTTTTGCGAAAGGCGCAGACCGCGGTGCATCACCGCCCAGTATTGGAGATGACATGGTGGGGCTTTATACCGATTTGGTGGCCAGCGTGGAAGGATATTCGCTGAAGAGGCATGTTCTTTCAGTCGCGGACCCAAGTTCTCAAGGTATAGCGGCTGGTCTTTTGCAGCGTAGGGATGATGAGAGGGGTAGTTTATGCTGTGAGTTTGTCTAGCTTGAGAAGTAGAGCGCATGGCACGCATGGCGCGCCCCCCCGTTCGCCCAGAAATTCGATCCTAACTTTAAGAAAAAGGCTGGTCGGGAATGCAATGTCTTCTGCTGAAAGGGCGCAAGATCTCATTCTGCTGGGTAAGAATCCACATCCTTCACACACTCTCTCACTCTCTTCCCCCTCCTCCCGCCCCCCCCTCTCTCTTTCTTCTCTTTCCTCACAGCGAGCCCCGATGGCTACCAACCGCAGCGTTGACCCCTTGCCAGGATCGCTTCACGACGAATTTCTTCTTTCCGGACTCCTCTCACGGCTCCATAACGACGGGAATTTACGTTACCCCATCCCAAGACACCGTCAACCTCATCCTCGGCAACTACACTCTCTCGTCTGGCGAAAGGGGAAACATATACTCGTCCTCTCCCGGCTCCAAGCCAAATCTCAGCACGCTACATCTGCCCAGCCAGTTCACCGCAAGTGGAGAGGGTACGGCCATTCCGGGCAGCGAGCTGGGCGCGCCGGCGGAAACAGCGACAGGACCAGGACAGGATGGCCCTCGACCAACACGAGCAACTGTGACAGTCACAGTCAGCGGTGGGGCCTCCGCGACGAAGTCGGCTGATGCTGCGACACCCAAAAGCTCTCAGTCATATATATCTGCTGTCATCAGTGCGATTCTTGCTGCCCTGGCAATGTGAAGAAGACAATAAGGGATACACCAGGATTACATCAAAGTCACCCCAGAAAAAAAAAAGAAAAAAAGAAAAAAAAAAATTCCTCCCTTCTATATATTAGTTACCCCCTAATCTAATATACTCTTTGATTTTGAGATGAATACATTTATGAATAGATGAATAATGTCAGATAATTATACTCTGTACCTGTCATGAAAGATTCACCGACAAAGCACCCTGCAAGGAGGGGGCCAAAAAACAGAGACCCAGAAAGGCGCCTAACGATAACAATCTCAGCCACGGAGCCGCCCAACTAAAAGGCAGCCAAAAAAAAAAAACCCCAGATTATGTAACTAGTTACCTAACCGCGGAATTCGGAACCGGGGTAATAATGATCCGCCAACATTTTGAGATCCTTGGAAGTGTCCGTGTGAAAACCCCGCTTATAGCAGACCACATGGGCAAAAACAAAGGCCAAGTCAACCCCCATCAGTTCAGTGTCTTTTTAAACATGTGTTTTTTGTTTTTTATCTGCCAGAAACTCCGGAGTATGGGAGTACAGTGAGCTATGTAAGCTTCCACTAAACCGCATCCGGCTAGCCACATGCCGACCTCAGGCTCCAAAACCAGTCCCATCCCATCCATCATCCATCCACCCACGCCAGGCAACCTTTGGAGATTCCGGCCCCAACCCTGACCAAGCTCGATCCGACTGCACGACACACCAGTGTTGCGAAAGAAAACTGGAAACCGGTCACAGGGTGGCATCGATCTCCAATGCATCATGCCGGGCTCCCTCATCTCTTCACCGCACCCGAGTCAGATCCCCACCTTGCACCTCTATCCTCTGATCATCCCAGGACACCACTGCTCCCTTTTCCTTTTTTTTTTTTCCTCTCTCTCTCTCTCTCTTCTTTTGCTCCCATGTCCAGCTGCCGCACGCCGTGGCACGAGATTCGTCCAACCATGGGCAGCATACCAAGCTGAACAAAACGCCCTCTCCTCTCCCCTCCTCCCAACCCCCCCTGCAAGTGCTTGTCTCTTGGATTGCAACATTTCCCTTCATGTCTCTTAAGCCGAGGTCGGGTTCCTGCTTATTGAATGCAGTGGGAACTCAGGAGAGATGCCTCCTCTGTTTGCACTGTTATACAGACCAATTGACGCCGCGTGGTGACGTTATCCAAATTGCTCTGATCCAGGTATCTCAGCCCTCTTTCCCATATAGGGCCTGTCATCCTCGTCATCTCTACTTCGTGCTGCTTGATTCGTGGTCACCCGCGTTATCCACCTGTTTATCGCGAGCGTATGCTCCGTTTTCCTGCTTTCCACGGAACTCTAGCCCTTCTTTCAGGCTTCGGCTTGTATTCATCGGAGCTGTCATTTTCATACTCATTCGTTAGGGCTCTAACGTTGTGCCGGTTGAACTCTTTCAAGCTTATGTGTGATTTGGAGTGGAATTTTGGCTCCTACATACGTATACCCGCCCCGGAGTTCCGGGCTTCGGAAGGAAATTCCTTACCTACCATCCTCTATTTTCGTTCGCGTCACCGTGACGAATGCTCGGTGTGTCCATGATGGACCCACGTTTCCGCCCCGCGCCATAGCGTGGGGGGAGCAAGATCTTCATATCACGCAGGATTTTGAAGGCCTCCCTGTTCACCACTTCTCTTCCCTAATTGTGCGTATGATGCCTTGTCATCATTCTCTTCTGGTTTTGCTCGCCGTCGTTTGCGTGGCCTCGCCACGGTGTTCAACCCCAATCTCCCAGCATACTTCCTCTATACAGTCATTTGCTATTTGCACAAAAAGCATGACGATGCAAGCATCTCTAGAGGTGTTATCGCATGGTTACATCAAATGTCAAGTCATACGGAAGAGTGGTTCTCTGCCCGGCATGACATTCCGTGTTGCTGCCGTCGAGATTCGAGATGCCTAGTCAGGTATAAAGACCTTTGGCGAAGCCACTTCTCTTGGGTGTCTCTGGTTTCATCTTCCCGTTATAATTAACGCAACTCCCCTGGACGTGCACATGCCCTTTTCACCATGAGCATCATGAAGATCGCCACACTCTGTTTTGCAGCACTTTCGGCTGTTGAGGCCGCAAAGCTGCTAACCCCCTCTGACAAGAGGGATATCGTTCCTGATTCCTATATTGTTGTGATGAAGGACAATGTTTCGCCGCTCAAGTTTGACTCTCACATGAGCTGGGCTACCAACGTTCACCATGCGAACCTTGCTAGACAAGGATCGACCGCCACTGGTGGCCTGAAACACGTTTACAGAATTGATGGTTGGCAAGGGTACAGCGGATCATTTGCCCGAGAGACCATTGATAGAATCCTCGAAAATGACGATGTCAGTGATATTCGAAGTTTGCTTGATAGTACCGTCCTTCTAACCTGACCTACGGAGCAGGTTGACTACGTTGAGCCTGACCGCCGCGTTCATTTGACTGGTCTAATAACCCAGCCAAATGCACCATCTTGGGGTCTCGGGAGAATTTCACACCGTAACAACGGAAATTCGAGTTTCATTTATGATGACAGGGCTGGCGAAGGTATCACCTTTTATGGCGTGGACACGGGAATCGATATCAACCATCCTGACTTTGGAGGCCGCGCTGTTTGGGGTACCAACACCGCAGGTGGATCGGACAGTGATGGTCATGGCCACGGAACCCACACGGCAGGGACTGTCGCAGGAGCTTCATACGGTATTGCCAAAAAGGCCAAGATAGTCGCTGTAAAAGTCTTAAGTGATGGAGGTACTGGCCAATGGAGCGGCATCATCGAAGGTATTAACTGGAGCGTTAATCATGCGCGCGCGAACAACGCTCTTGGAAAAGCTGTCATGAACATGTCCCTTGGTGGGGGACTTTCCACCTCTGTGAACCAAGCTACCACTAGGGCCCAACGCGCCGGTATTTTCATTGCGGTTGCCGCTGGAAATGAAGATGTAAGTAACACCATGCCATCAGTTGCTCCACAGGTACTTAAGCATCCGCACAGAGCGATGCGGCAAACACTTCACCGGCCTCTGCTGAGGATGTCTGCACTGTTGCTGCCTCAACTGAACAAGACGGCAGGGCGTCTTTCTCCAACTGGGGAAGTATGGGTAAGTTTCTTCTCTGAGATTTTTAGTTAATCAAATGTCCCTGCTGTGCTCATGAATTGCTGTAGTCGAAATTTATGCCCCGGGCACAAATATTGTCTCTACGACTCCGGGAGGAAATACCGGGAAAATGTCCGGAACCTCCATGGCCGCTCCCCATGTTGCTGGTGTTGGCGCAGCTATTATGGCCACCGAAGGCATTTCCCCCTCCGAAGTTTGCTCCCGCCTCGTAGAGATTGGACTAGAACAGATCAGCAACCCTGGGAGTGGCACAACAAACAAGCTCCTTTATAATAACAGCGGTCGTTAGCCGTGCATTGCCCAGCAGGAGAAAGACCTTCTTTTATGTTTAACTCTCTTGCTTATTTCTGTCTACAACAGGACTCGTTTTAAGGCAAATATCTTTATTAGTCGGAGGCTTGAATATCCATGCTTTACTTGCACAAATTTGGTTACCTTTCAGCAACCGGAGTTTTCGCCATTTAAATGTCGGTATAGAAACGTACCTTTGGCATCGATTTCTTGTAGCACATTCGCGTTCCCGATCTTGCCAGTATGATATAAACATCCAACATTTCACCACGATGTCAAGTCCAAATTGACTAGGTGGTCATATGCTCGCTGAAAGACCAGTCTAAGTGGCTAACACCCCGCGATGAGAACGCAGGCCATCATGGACCGAGTGCTAGAATGAAAATGAAAATTGCTTTTACAAGTCCCCAAACTCAACTCATGATAGGCTGAAATGGCATCTACACCACGTATTCATCCCAATCGTAGCGCGTGCCATGTATTTCCAGGAAGCCGATGGACAGCGCACAGCAAGCCTGGCAGGATTTCGTAAAGACCTAGGAATGAATAGAATAAAATGGGGGAAATACAAAACGAGAAACTATCGGCGCTTTGGCTCTGGGTTGGTCTACCGCGTGATACCCTGAAACATCTTGCCAGTTAATCAGCAGTTATTGTATATACTTCCAGTCCCGATGAACACTCTCCTATGGAAAATGAGATTGGTCCAAAATCAAGAGAGAGGCGACATGAAATGCCAGGCATATCCTGTTCTTGGCATTTCTCTTGACCGGCTAGAGATGCGATCAGATATAATTACTCTCCCCTATGGTGAATCGAGACAGAATCGCTGCCGCATCTTCAGACCTTATCCATCAATGCAACGAAAGCGTAGAACAGGCAGACGCTGTGTCCAATCTAAGACACCATGGGATAAATTTACATACAAAATCTATGGAACGCTAGCTGGAAAAGGCACCATGAATATGCAGAGCTGATCGAACCCCAAAGGGTCAATCAGTGCGTCAACGACACAAATGATTTGAAAGACAAAGACAACCGCATGTCGATATGCCTTGCGAAGAAAAGTTGCGAAGCCCTAGCAACTAGAGATGCCAGCGTATCTATAAAGGTCTAGGGGTATTTCAGAAGAAAACGGATCTCGTGATGGTCAAGCAAGCATAGCTTGCAAGAGATGAAATCCGCAGAGGCCTCCTCTCGGACAGAAGGCAATAATTAGTCGAATAATTTCGTCATGGCTTTATGTGCGAGTTCAACACCCAAGCTATAAAACGAAACCTACGTTAGCTTAACGGTGCGAAAATGGCGTGGGGAAATACACGTACAAAGTGGCAGCATTGGCGGGAACGGCTCGAGCCAGCGCCGGCCCAAAACCAGGGAAGAAAGCTTTGAGGCCTCCGCTGGCGTACACTCCGCGGATGGTACCTCCAATCGTAGGACGACCCTCAGCACTCTGTAAGCGAGACTTGATGGTATCAACTGGGAACACAGGAATCCACATTGCCACACCAGCGGCACCGCCAGCAGTGAGGATCGCCGTAAGCGAGAGTTCACCAGTAACATTGCCGTTCTCATCCTTTGGCGTCAAGCTGCGCTTGATATACTCGTATGCAGCGAAGTATGCCGCAGAACCTGGTCCATCGCGAGCCAGGGTCATGGCGCTTCCCCGGAAAACGCTTCGAATACCGCCCTCTTTGTACAACTGCCGAACCACATCAACACCACCGGAATACTTGGGCTTCTGGCCTGCAGGTGGTGGGTTTTGTCCTTGAATCTGGAGTAAAACCTTGACACGCTCAAATGGCGCTGTGATCAGAGTCATGGGAATAGCGGAGAAGAAGCCAGCTGCGGAAATCTGGGCAATGGAGAACTGGGGGGTGCCATTGATCTCGGGAACAGGGGAGAAAGAGCGGACGAGGGTTTTGCCCAGATCGTATCCCTGAATTTCGAGCGTTAGAAAAGGGTGCAAGTCAGAGTCACTATGGGTCCGGGGCGTGCAAACCGTACCCAAAAGCTAACAGCAACTGTAACCTCTGTCAGCGGAGAGTGTTTTGGTGTGAAAGCAACACTGGTGGAAGGAAATACATACACATCGGCGTAACTCCAACAAGCGGCGCTGATACGCCAGCATACAGACCCTAGAAAGGAGCGCGTTAAATCTTAACCACCTCTGGCAAAACTCCAGCAGCAGCGCTAAGGCAAAAACTCACTCTTGCAAGGCCTTCCCGCGCAACTGTCTTCTTTACAACATCGATGGCGCCGGAGTAAACCCCCCTTTCCGCGGTTTGCAGTCGTACCTTCACGAGATCGAAGGGATGACCGACGACGACAGCGCACACTCCGCCAACACCACCCGCGACAAAGGACCGCACCTGCGCGAGGGTGGCGTTAACACCAGCCTGCGCTTCTTTCTTGATCTCGCTTGCCGCCGGAGCTTGCGCGGATATGGCTGGTGAAGTTGTACTCTCTGCCATCGTGATGTGTCAAAGTAAAAGAGCCGAAAGGATCCGGAAACGACACAAAGCAAAAAAAATTGAAGAGCGGAAAAGTGTTTCTGAAGGCTGTTCGTGAAACAGTTTTGGCGGGCGGGAGGATGGTTCACAGGCGGAGGACGGGGACTCCGTGGTTGAATCTGCAGGATAGCGACAGAGGAGCCGTCACACGGGGGATGATAAAAGTGATCAGACCTTCTCTTTCGCTTTGGCCCTTCTTCTCTTCGTCGACAGCCTGTTATCCCGTGCGAGGATTATTCCTTTTTTTTTTTTTTGGGTGGTGGTCTTGATTTTTTTGGCCTGTGATCGAGCATTGCTGCGGCGGCCGGAAAGGCGAACTTCCACTCGCGCGTGAACCTCGGCTCGGTCTCGGAACAATGCACTCCCGAATGGCGGTAGCTGACTAAGCGGTTACGGCAAATCTGATGGAGGACTCATATGCTTGTCGTTCACTAAGCTACCTAAAGGGGAATCTCGGCTAATCTATGTGGGTCACGTGAGTGAGGTGCTAGTTGGATTACCTAACACCCCCCCCATGCAATAAGCTCCAGCAGTGAGCAAGGGCCACAAAGATCCAAAGCTCCAGCTTCCAAATCTCTCAAATCCACAATAAAAATTAATTACAGAATCCAGATTTATTCCTTCTTTAGGCTTAGCTCCATTCACTGTGATACAGTATTTTCATCAGCTTCACTGATAAACCTTCATATTTTCCTGTATTAATCTGTCACCCCTATCACACTCACAAATTGAGAAGAGGGATCTATTGTGAGAGTCTTCATGAGTCCATCAGCTTTATTTGCATTGCTTTCAACATGCTTGATCAAGATTTCATCCTTTTGCACCCAGTCTCTTAGCATATGGTGCTGAATCTCAATATAGCATGCTCTTTGTGTTATAGCTTCAGCTTTGGCTAAGTCAACCACTCTCTTGTTGTCAATACTTAATTTTGAGCTTCTTAGCCTTGCTAAGCCTTCACTAATTACCCCAGTATCTATCAACAGGTCATTGATTCAAACCAGTTCACAAGCAGCTTTGCTAGCTGCCAAATACTCTGCTTCAGTTGTAGATTTCAAGACACATATCTGGCACTGTAATCTCCACAATATTGGAGCTCCATTCATAGTAATAATGTAGCTGCTGGTGGATTTGTATGTAGGGTCAGCTCCAGCCCAGCCAGAATTCAAATTGGCTGCCAGTTTCAAGCCTTCAGAATTCATATCCCTTTTGAAGACTATTCCTTTCAATTTTGTGCTCTTGAGATAGCATAGAATCTGCTTGAACACCATCCAGCTCTCTCTATTGGGCCTGCTGTTGAATCTCACCAGATAATTGACTGCAAATGCAATATCCAGCCTCATACATGTAACCAGGAACTGTAGGGAGTCCAGGCCTTTCCTATAGTTCATAGGTGTGGCCTGCTCATCAATTCCATCTTTAAGGGCCTGATCTGACATAAATTCAATGCTTATTTCTTTCTTTATTGATGTTTTGAAAGATTTACAGTCTTCCATTCCATATTTACTCAGTAGATCCTCAATATACTGTTTCTGGTTTACAAAAAGGTCTTTATTTGGCTGCTTTTGAACCTGCATGTCTAGATAACAGTCTTGCTCCATAACCTTCTTGATATCAAAGCATTTCTGAAGCTTCTTGATGAGCCATTCTATCTCAGCTTTATTGAGTCCCATTATACAGCAGTTATTAATATGTAGAGTTAGATAGATTTGTTTTCTCTTGTAGTAGAGTAACCCCACATTATATAGAGAGATCTGGAATTCTAGAGATTTCAGATAGTCAGTAGCTGCTTGATACAAGAGTCTAGCAGCTTGCTTCAACCTATAGAGTTCCTGGCATAGAAGCCCTACTAGATTACCCTACCCATGCTTGAATCCAGTGGGTAGTTGGATGTATACACATTTGTCCTCAGGAAGAGTTTTATTTAGAAAGACTGTCACAAAGTCAAAGACTCTGACCTTCCAGTTCTTGACTGTTGAGATAGTGAAGAAGACTCTTGTTGTAGGTCCACTAACAACTGCTGTATAGATCTTCTTGTAGTGAATGCCCTCTTGCTGTTCAAATTCACATACAACCCAACAGGCTTTGAATCATACTATGCCACCTGTATTGTTGAGCTTCCTATCAAATACCCATTTGCCAGAGAGAATCTGCATTTCAGGTTTCTTCTCAACTAGAATCCAGATGCCTTTCTCTTGTAATTTGGAGACTTCAACATCTAGAGCCTCCTTTCAATAAAGCCACTCTTCAGAGTATTTGGCTTCAGCAATGGATTTTGATATATCTGTACATGTACTGAGTACTGGAAGCTCAGCTCCATTTGCTTCATCTTCCTCCATAGTATCTGAGAGGATTTCTTGCTCTTCACCCAGGTACATGGGCTCTAGAGCCTCTAATTCACCATCTGCAAGCTTCTTCATGATTTCTGGCTTCTCCTTCGCAAGGTAAGCTAGTAGCTTGTGTTGCCAGCTGTTCAATAGATCTATGTAATTGTACTCCTCCAGGAGTTCAACATATTCGGCTTTGGTTAGTGAATTCGTTGGGATTTGATCCAATTTTTTGTCAAATATAACATCTCGCAAGATCATTATACTGTTCGTTTCTGGGTCCCAAAGCCTGTAGGTGTGCATGCCGATTCGCGTATTTGTGTCTATAAGGTTGCCGACATATTTTTCTAGTTCCTCATCAGAGTCTATTTCTCAGTCCTCTTCTTCTTCTTGTTGAGCTTCTTGCTCTGGGTTCTCCTGCATCATTGCAGGTGCATTTGCAGTGCTTGCTTGGCCTGATAGGAGGTTCATTTGCTGTGCCAGCTGTTGTACTGTCTTCTGTTGTCTTTGCATCAACTTCTGTTGCTTTTGCATCATCTTCTGTTGATTCAGCATCATTCTGCATAACATTTGAAGTTCACTCTTCTCCCTAGGCTCCTGCTCATCATTTGGCAGGTTGCCTCTGAGCCTACTCAACCACCTAAGCTTGGTTTGGGGTGTAGAGAGGTTCATTGGAGCCTCCCAGTCAGGAGTTCAATGCTCTGGTTCATCCATACAGTTCACTATGGCTTTGGCATTGCCAGATGCTCAATTTGCTTGCTAGATGCATTTAGCAGGTGTTTTGCTCACTCTCTGATCACATGCCAGAAAGCTACAGGGTTCAACTCACTCTCCAGCTCAGTGCTAGAAAGCTACAAGGGTTGCACATATAGAAGATGCCTATCTCAATGTACACTCTCTCTTGTGCTCATAAAATCTTATTATCTACAAGGATAATCATTCAGGGCATTGATTGTAAGCTTCAATATCCAATTGAGCTGTAAATCAATCTTATACACTTGCTCTTCAGCGCAAAGGGCTATAACCTGATGGAGGACTCATATGCTTGTCATTCACTAAGCTACCTAAAAGGGGAATCTCGGCTAATCTATGTGGGTCACGTGAGCGAGGTGCTAGTTGGATTACCTAACAAAATCTATGATCCGAAATAGCGGAAAAGGGTTAACTAATATTCCGGTCCTATTTTCGCGCTCTCCAAAAACCCGCCCGCAAAGCGAGGCTGAAGGAAGGGATATTTGCTGGGGGGTGACGGCAGCAGAACACTACGAGCAGCTATGTACATTAATTACTATACAATATCCTGAGGTAGACGCTGTCTCCATAGCCTTGGGTCCGTGACACGTCATGTCAAAATTGAACTCGTCCACCGCGACATTTCCGAGGACTGGTTTGTATCCCGCGCATCACTCCAGATTGGAGAACATACACTCCTCTAGCAGTACGTGGAACCTTCCATCCAAGATACAAGGTTCATCTTGATGCGCGCGCCCATGAGGTCCACTTCGGATTCAATTGATTAAGCTCCGCGACCCTACTCAACTTCGAAGCTTCCCGGTGCAATACACGCACGTATCAAACGTGCTTAACAGCCGTGTGAGTAGTCCTGTATGCCCGTCATCTTTTGATAATAGCCCCTTTTCCACAAGCCGCGCATGGTCCAGGTACTCCGTCTCGCATCTGCTGCAGCGATTCGATATAAATGGGTCCTGGATCGATAGGAGTGTTACACCACAGCGAACTGCACAATAGAGAGGGTTAATAACGAGGATCGTCACCAAAGTTCCTCATGCTAGGGGATCGAAATGCTAACGTACCGAAAATATGGCCTTCGTGACATTGGGACTCTGTAGCAGAATACCATTCTATTCCGCTGCCACATATTTCACAGGTTTCAAAGACTTCGCTAGCAGGGCCGCCCGCCTCTTCTGCAGCCTTGGCGGGTACGGATCTAAAAAGAGTGCCATCGTCATAGTTCGATCCAATCTCATCCAAAAGCGACTTTTCCGTGGTAAAGTCAAGGCTAGTACTTTCTTGTATCCATGCTATTGCCGATTTAGCGCGGTTCAAGAGTTCACCGTCATAACTAGATTGTATTATCACACAGCAGGAGGCGGCGTATTGCAACTTCTTAATCCAACGGTCATCTGGCAAAGACCGATGGCTCTCATCAAGTATATAATTTAGGACCTTTCGTCTCGCGTTCTCGGCGTGGCTTTGATCCAAGACTGGAAAATTCCACGGCATTCCGGGGCTGGTGTGATCACGATTGTGTTCACTGAATGGAGAGAATACGATCCTTAGGCGTTCGTGTGAAGGGGTTAGATGCTCTACCATATCAGTAGGATGTATGGTAAAACACACCGCCGTCCACCCATGATAAGTAGTCAAACCCCATATCCTTACAGCTGACATCCCACCCAAGTCGTTGTCCAAATCGAATCGGCTGCGAAAACTTTCAATCTGTCTTTGCCACTCAGCTTTACAGGCTTGGGCGGTGCCATCTATACCCTGGGCGTCTTCTTGATCTCTGGATTGAAGCTGATAGCAGTCGACAGAGGCCGAGAGACTAGCAGCACTCAAAAGAACGGAGTTTGACGTGGCATCGTATATCGAGATTATTCCTTGTAAACTTAGAAGTGCCGCGATTATCAAGGAAGCCCGGGATATTTCATACCAGTTATAGAAGACCAGTCTTCGAGAGCAGAATCTGGGGTCGCAACACCGAGATATCGTTGCGACACACTACATTTTAAGAATCCTTGCGCTGGCCTTTGACTTTCAACCGGATCCTGGAACGCGAGTGTAGATACACTGCCGAGTCTTCCTACAAGCAGACCTTGAGCTACCCGCCCATCCTAGCAAGCTGTCAGTCCAAACAAAAATAGGATCCAAATAGGCTTGGGAAGATAGTAGCGTTCCAACCTTGTAGATCCACGTTATTGGGCCCGTAAATTCTGTCCCTTTCACGATATCTGTGTCCGCATCGATATCAAGCTCGAGCATTCGTATATCCCACAAGTCCCATCCTGTATATTCGACATATTTGCAATTGGCTTGCAGCCGCAATAGTCTAAGCTCTGAGCCATAAATGAGGCCCAACATAGATTCTAGGCATACAGTCCCATCTTCCTCCGGCGGGGGCGCTATATTCCAAGACTTGCATGCCATGTGCCTTATCAAATTCTTCCCTTGTAATGACCTTGCAAATAGCGAGCTGGAATCGATGCTCGGAAACATATTTCGCATAGGGTTGAGCAAAAAATGGGAGACGACCACTATCCAGGAGCTCGAGTTTGTCTCATGAGGCCGAAGTCTGAGCAGAACAATATCGCCCGCATCGTTTGCAACCACTAATAGATGGACTCCCCATTTTCTTGGTCCATTTGCAGCTTCAGAGTCATCCACTGGCCCTTTATCATACTCATTACACGGTGCGGTCCAGGTAAATGATCGAATCCTCTGCTTCCTCTTGAGCAGATCGTCGTCGTTATCGACAGAGGCCCTGAAATATTCTTCCAGCGACGAATTCACGACTCCAATCCGCGCCCATTTTCCTGCCCCATCTGTCGCCTCCCACAACGATAAGAGCAGATTACTCGTCAAAACGCCCAGCATGCAACGCTTGTATGTTGCGAGGCCCGGCGCTGACCAGGACACAGCAGTAACATGGCTGAGGGATTGCTCCTCACCAACCGAGAACACGCGTCCAGCTCGTGGCATCAAGAGAGGCCATTCGTCCTGTGTGAAAATGTTGACACGGATTTTGGTGATTTCCCATTGTGAGTTCAGGCGTGGAAGCGTAGTCTGCTCCTCTTGCCGTTGGGTGGAGAATTTGGGTGTCTGTGAAGAGCGTCAGTGGAACATGTTACACTTCCGATCTCGCTTCTGCAGGCATTCTCCAGCGCGTGTCACTCAAGGGAAACATGACGGCTCACCAAGAGATGTACATTTTCTCCCGCAGCAATAACGAGTTCACCGTCTGTAGACCACGACGCACAGCCATAACATGAAGGATACGCGTTCAATTCCACAGGATCCAACATGATGATAACGAATTTTGCAGCTTCACACGCCCTTGTCTGTCTGTTCGGTCTCTGGTTCTCGCCGCGTTCACGGTCGGTCAAGCACGATTTAGGGCAGCAACCATTACGGAGATTGAAGGGGAGCCCGTAATTTGGATATCAACGATGACGACTTCACCAGTATAGCGATGTAGCTTTTCAAGTAGTTAAAACTACCACAGGTCAATAGCAACGACTACTCCATTTATTCTATAATGCCAACCTACACAACACTCTTAACTCTTGCCGCGCGGGAAATTCAGCTGGTTATACATTTTGTAGGTACTTTGATGGATAAATAAATATTTCCTACTCAAAAACTGTGAACCTTGAACTGGGTGGCATTGAGAAACCAATGTCCCAAAGAACCCAGTCCAAGGTTTGATCATTGACGACGATTTAGCTAAAGGATGTCGAAATTATGGGAGAGCCACAACGGGGCAGACGCCGGAAGAAGGGCGCCGAGCTGAATTTACTGGTATGGCTGGAATAACAAATTCAATTCAAACCTGGGCTCGAGGTTTACTATGGGCCACACACTAGTTGAAGTCTTATAGGGAGTAAACAGCTTGTTATTCCCTGTCATCCAGGAGAGAACGAGTGGGATCTACCTCAGTATACGCAGGTTATATACTTCTCGCCAAAGCCACGGTGGAATGAACGAGTCCTATCAGTCTCGTTCAGCTCGTAGAATTGAAGACTTTCCTACCCAGGAGAGGAGTGATATCCGTATACTAAAAGCGAGTATGAGGAATTCCATGCGAAGGTTGTCGTCTGCAATGGGGAGGCTGTGTCAACTAAACAGATAAGCCGAGGCTGCTAGGTTGACAATCTGGTTATCCCTCATGGAATGTTTTGAAGGATCGCTCGGACGAGGGTACCTCAGGAGCATTACCCGTGTAGTCAATTGAATACGGACATATGATCTTGGGAGGGAGTAGGTGGGACCGAGGGGGGGAGTTTCCAGGTCTTCGGGTTACTTGGGCCTGTGGGAGCTTTGCAAGCTCCAGAGACATTACATGATTTGCGCCTGGGCAAGCATCAGGACGCCACTGGGCCGTTTCTATGCGTGTTTGGGGCTGTTGGATGCGCAGAAGGCAAGGACGCATTTACCCCAGTTCCCGAAGGCGCCGTAGAGGGCTCTTGAGGAGCCAGTTGCAGAGGCGGCAAATAGGTCGGTTCCGTTGCAGTGTTGGAGGGTGAAATAGATTCAGGAGTCTGCCCAATAATATTCATAATAAACTCGATTCGATCGTCTCGAGGACGACTAAGCAACGCGATATACGTCTCACTAGCGAACGGGTCCTGGAGAGCCTTTAAAACCACGCAATATTTGGAGAAGGGAATACGGCTCGTTTCCCCGTCTCTCCAGGAGGCAGGCAAAATTAGATCCATCTCCTTCAGGAACTCAGATGACGCTCTCTGATATGGTGGTATTAATGCGGCTGCAAGCTCTCTTGCCGGTTCGGCCAGTGCATCTCCCGATGTCAGTATATCGACCGCCGTCAATATACCGGTTCCTAGGTTATTTGCTCGAAGTCTCTTTTGGGATTGATCGGCCGCGGTCGCTGGGGCGGAATCGGTCGCAGATCTCTTTTGGATGGCAGGTATTGCAGGTGCTGGCAATGGATAAGTGTTATTCGCAGTGTCCACATGTCCGCTCGGCAGTGTTGGGTTTTCCGCAGGGCTGATGGTCTCCGGGCGGTCAGCAGGAGCGACTTCGCGCTGACCGGATTGCGGTTGGACGCGCATCATCCTGGTGCCGTAGGGCCTGGGGACATAGCCGCCCGGCAAGATGCGTTCGATCATGTCCTTGTGCATCAGGCCTTGGTCGCGAAAGACTTCCATCTCAGGGTGGGCGTTGAAATAGACATCCATAACCTCGCGTTGGTTTACAAAAGCCTCGCGTGCGGGATCCCACGTCCAGTCGGAGGTACTCGCTTTGTGCTGTTCCCAGAGCTTCCACGTCCTTTTCATCTTCCTCCAACGATTCTCACAGATTTCCCTAGTCATTGGCTGCTTGGTGAGCTCCTGGACCTTGGAAACGGTGATTTCCCATCCTCGGATCCTAAAATTCCCGTTTCCCTTATCAAGTCCCTCCCCCTTGGCCTGGATTAGGCCGTTCAATAGAGCTCTGTCCATCGTCCAAGTCCATACCGTTCGTGCACTCCTGAGCCGGGCCCTCGACTGTCTTTCTGTCTGCGGGTCGTCGAGGCCCGGTTGGGTTCCCGTCGCGTCCTGTGGCTCGTCTGAGATTCGGCATTCAGCGCCGGCGTGATTCGGGGAATTATCCATGATTGCGGCCAAATTTAGGGGATAACCAAGAACCACACGGATATTCCTGCAGCTTTGACTGTCGTGTGGGTTTTGGTCTGCGAGCGCGTTGCGAGAGAGAGGATAGATACACAGGGAGAGTAGAGAGAGAGAGTTTACAGGTGAAGTTAAATTTATTTCGCTGGGTCGAATTGTTATTTCGCTCCCAACCGGCATGCTAGCGTGAACTTTTTGGGACCATCGCTTGTGGATGGTCTGGGAAGATGTAACCATTCTTTAGTACACACTAAAAGAAGGGACAGGAATATTTATATTTATTTTTCTATTGAGAACATAGCTACTGCCTTCATTAAGATGTCAGTCCCAGAAATTCCCCGGCGACGGGGTCCCACTCGTCATCCCATCGTCTTTTACTGGCGTTTCTCGCGCCCTGTCGAAGCCATTGCAGCTGGGATCTATCTTCGCCAAGGAGATCGATTAGATGACGAGAAAGCTCTTCAGCGCTGCCAAATCCTTTCCCGTCGACACCCTCGGTTATTAGTTCTGGCCATGCCTCGTACCGGTCCCATGCAACTACGGGTAAACCGGCGCCAAACATATCTACGACTTTCATCGGTAGATCGACGCCGCTACTACTGGTATGCAAACACACACCTAGGGAAGAACATGCAAGTAACTTCGCATAGTCCTGTATCGTAAGCCAGGCGCATTGTATGTGTATTTTTCGCAGCTTCCCTTCCGCTGTCAGAGCTGCGATGGCGCGGAGGTACGTGCGCTGTAGCGGCCCTTTGCCAGTAATGACGACATACAAGTCGGGGAGGTTTGCATCCACAGTGGCAGCATGGGTCGAGTACTGGCACAATGCATCTAGAAAGATCGAGAAATCTTCGTCTGGGGTCCATGATGTCGAGCTAACAAGTAGCTCGCACTGCCTGCCGGCGCGATAAGCTTTTACGAAGTTGTTTGTTTCCGGAAGAGAAGTTAGAAAGGCAAATTTCTCATCTTCCCTGACAATCGGCTGAAACAGCTCCGGCGGCCGGTCATGTAACACTAGTATAGGCGCAACTAAATTGATTTCTTGTTGAAGCATCCTCGCCATGGCTTTGCTGACACAAAAATGGGCAGTGGCGAAACGACAGGCTGTCATTTCGTGAAACCGAAGGAATTTGACCATTGGATGGCGCGGTCCTAGCTTCATTGCCAGGATGGAGTATCCGAAATTATGCCAGTCAATGATCAGTCGAGTATTGCGGAGCCAACAAGCAAGTTGGGCCATGACGAGGGTCGGGACTGTGGGCGGGTTCTGGCGTTGAGAGAGGGTAGCAACTTCAGTCTCTTGGAATAGAAGGACACCAATGCAAAATTCACACGAAAGTTCGGTTCCAGGTTTAAGCTACGACGAGAAGCTAGTCGCTTACCTGGATGAGCATCCATTGGGCGGGCTTGGAGCGGTACACGAGAGCGCTCCACAGGAACCAGGTCTGCTGGAGCACCTTCAAGACTGCCAGTAGAGGAAAGAGTACTTTATTCTTTGTCTGCAGCATCTTTGGAGGGGGTGGGAGGGCAACGATGGAGACAAGAGGGTTCGAAAGGAGCTCCGGCTTCGGTGGAGATGCTGGTAGATAGAGGGATTTTGTTAACATATGCAAACTCAGTAACCGTCATTCGAGGCGGGAGCTTACTCTGATATCCTATTATCGTAACGCGGCCACCGTGTTTCGCGACGCTCTCGGCGTGGTACTGCATTCTTGGGCTATGCCCAATATCGCCAAGGACAACGATCTGAACAGAGATCGAAGCTTTCTTCGCATCTGAGTCTGATGCTCTCGCCCTACCTATGGGAAACACCCAGACCAGAGCAACTGTGGTCGCGAGGAGCAGGGAGAGGCAGGCGATCACCAGCGCCTGGAGGACGGCCATTGGCAGCAGGGAGCAGGTAAATTGGCAGAAAACCCAGGGGCTCTGTCAGGACCTGTGTAGGTTTTATCTGGTCAACAGACAGCATCATGGCTCCCGTTCAGCCATGTCGAGTGGAGAAAAAGCAGAAGCAGAAGAACAGACGACGACGACAAGCAAGTGGTTCGATGGGCGGGATGATGGCCTGGCCGGAAGGGGAATGGTGAGCTGGCAGGGCCAGGCGATAAGCAGCCTTGGCATCTCTTGGCACAACTCCCCCCTGAAGACGCAGAGCAAAATCCTAACAAACAGGGCCTGACCATCGCAACGCAACGGCATCTCACCGGGCCACCGGCAGACACAGCAACAGCAGGAGGGGACACCCTGGTCTGAACTCTCTTCCTCGCCATGGGCGTCTGATTCCACATTCCTGTTGCCTCTGTCTCCTGGTTCATGTCCCCAACTTCAACCCCAATCCTGATCACCAATGAGCTGATGCACGATTGTTTCCTCTGTTTTCCCTCCCACAAACAAGGCGATCCTGGATATCCCTCCCTCCTGCTGGCTTCCCTATGATGGAGGATGTCCGCCACCCTAATTCCACCGGTCACCAATGGTGTCCGCAGTGGACGACACCATCACCATCATCAACATCATGGCCGCTCGCATAAGCGAGCGCAACCTCTCTCCCTCTCTCACCAACCGCAGCCATCCCCCTCCCAGGCCGACCTCCTCACTCCTCCATCCCACGGCCTCCCTTCGACTCCTCGATCGCCGTTGTTCAGTGGCCTCATAGATGTGATGGAGAAGGATACAGGCCTCCCGTTTCATGACAGCGCCTCCTCTCCTGAGGTGACAGTGCTGTCCGAGAAACCTACCGAGCATACTGCCAAACCGCCACCGGAACACAAACACCCTTCGAGGATATCGCTGCGACTGTTGAAGGCCTCTGAGAAATGGCCGCTGTTACATGCAATCCTGAAGGAGAGGGACTCGCGACGTATCTTCTATTTTATGAGGTTTCTTCACCCCCACCCCCCCACACTCTTTCTTGCGTTGGCATGGCTGCTGACACCCGCTAACACATCGATCACCGTCTCAGCCTTAATTTTTCCTTCATGGTGGTCCAGTTGCTTTATGGAATTACAACCGGGTCACTGGGCCTTCTCAGCGACAGCATTCATATGCTATTCGATTGTTTTGCGTTGGCTGTCGGCTTGTCTGCTGCAGTCATGAGCAAGTGGCCCCCGAGTGCTCGGTTTCCCTTCGGCTATGGAAAGGTGGACACCCTTGCTGGCTTTGCCAATGGAGTTTCGTTGCTGTTAGAGATATTCCAATCCGAACTTATAGTTGCAGACCCGGCTGACGCAGACCAACAGGATCATTAGCATTGAAATCATATTCGAGGCATTCGAGAGACTAATCTCCGGAAGCGAGCTTAATCGCCTTGGAGAGCTTTTTATCGTTTCGACGCTCGGCCTGATCGTGAACATGGTTGGCATTTTGGCCTTTGATCACGCACATCATCACGGACATGGCCACTCCCATTCGCACGGTGACCATCATCATGAGAATATGCACGGAATCTATCTCCACATTCTTGCAGATGCATTAGGGTCCGTTGCTGTCGTTGGCTCAACCGTCCTGGTACACTTTTTTGGCTGGGCTGGCTTCGATCCTATCGCATCCTGCATTATTGCCGTCCTTATCTTTGTCTCCGCCATTCCCCTCGTCAAGACCACGGCCAAGACTCTTCTTCTCGCTGTTCCCGCGGACGTTGAGTATAACCTCCGCGATACCCTTGCCGGCATCAGTACCTTACGTGGTGTCGCGGGATACACTGTGCCTAAGTTCTGGCTTGATGACACACACCATGACAAGAAACATGGACATGGTCATCATCATCACCATCACCATCCGCAGCACGATCACGATCACGATCATCATAATCATCATCATCGGCACGGTAGTACCCCGAGCCACGCCCGTGACTGCAACGATCATACTCATTCCCACGGCGAAAAGGAAATGCAAAATATCTTGGGGGTTATCCATGTCATCGCTTCCCGAGGTACGGACATGGCAGACGTTCAGCGCAGGACTATCGATTACCTCCGCGAACGTAATATGGATATTCTGGTGCAAGTGGAACGGGAAGGCGAAGGTCGGTGCTGGTGCGGAGGGGGCAACAAATTCATCTCGTAGGTTCATAGGTTCATAGTCTCCCGGGTGTATGGAGTATCCTATGGAACATACTTCTTTTGTATTCAACATGTTTACGTGGGGGGTTGTCTTTTTAGTGGGGTGGTTGGTACCTTGGGGTCTCGGTTAGTATCTTGTATAGGATAGAGTTGATGATGGACACCACCCAGTAAGAAACGGATTCCTACCTGGGGTTGGAACTATGGCTTGGTGCGAAGTATACAATAACCTATAAATCAATACATAATGGCGTGACATGCGGATGAGGCTCAAAAAATGAACGCGAAACAAGAAGCTGGTATTTAAACTGGTATCAAAAATATCCAAGTCGCCAAACAAACATCGTATATACATGCGGATTCAGAATTTTACCCGGGTTAGACGTTAAAAGGAAATCTTTTTGTGTATTGTCCGCTCATTACCTGCAAAACAAAACGTAGTCATTGCACCTTTTCCACTCTCTGCACAATAATGGCGGTAGCAGCACCGCCACCATTGCAAATCGCAGCGCAGCCATATTCACCAGGTTTAAGTTGGTGGAGCAGAGTCGTCAGGATACGTGAGCCGGAGCTGCCGAGGGCATGGCCGAGGGAGATGGCACCACCGAGAGGATTGACGGTCGCGTTTTCGAGACCGAGAATCTTAAGAGAGAAGTGTCAGCATAGAGTAAGGTGGAAAAAAGAAAAAGAAAAAAAAAAGGGGGAGAAGCCAAAACGCAGGGGCAGCGTTACCTTCTCATTGGCCTTGATCACGGCGGCAAATGCCTCGTTGAACTCCCAGATAGAGATTTGATCCTTGGTGAGACCGGCTCGCTCAAGGGCAATGGGGACAGCCTTTGCAGGTGCAACCGGGAAGTCGATGGGATCGATAGCAGCATCAGCGGATGAAACAATGCGAGCGAGGACCCGGCTTCCGGAACCGTACTCGCGGGCAAGGGCTTCGTTGGTGATGACGAGAGCGGATGCGCCGTCATTCAGAGTGGATGCGTTGCCGGCGGTCACAGTGCCGGTACCATCACGGACGAAAGCGGGTTTGAGGGCGGCCATCTTGTCGGCGCGAAGATCTTCGAAACCCTCATCGCGGGAAATGACGACCTCGCCCTTTTTGTTTTTGACGGTGACGGGGGCAATTTCATCGGCGAATTTGTTCTCTTTCCAGGCAGCCTGGGCGCGTTGGTAGGAACGGATGGCGTATTCGTCTTGGTCCTGTCGAGTGATGTTGTATTTCTTCGCAGTGTTCTCGGCACACACTCCCATGTGGAACTTGTTGTAAACGTCCCACAGGCCATCCTTGATCAGGCCATCTTCCATCGTAGCATTTCCAAACGGAGCCTGTTGGCTGGCGCGCGGGAAGTAGTACGGCACGCGGGACATGTTTTCCATTCCGCCGGCGACCTGGGCCTCGGCAAGACCGAGCTGAACGTTCTGGGCGGCGAGAACGACCGCCTTCATGCCGGACGCGCAGACCTTGTTGATGGTGAGGGCCTCCACGATTGGGGACAGGCCGGCGAACATGGATGCTTGCCTGGCAGGGGACTGTCCGATAGAGCCCTGAAGGACGCAGCCCATGTAGACATCTGTAATTTTCTCGGCAGGAACCTTGGACTTCTCGATGGCCGACTTGATTGCCACAGCACCGAGCTGTGGAGCGGAGACGCTCACGAATGAACCGTTGAACTGAAAAGCCGGTCAATACACTATTTGTGCACAATACAAGACAGATAAAAAGAAGAGAGAGAGAGAGAGAGAGAGAGAGAGAGAGAGTGTGTGTGTGTGTGTGTGTGAAACGGGACGGGCGAACGGCACCCCCCGGGGGGAGAAGAGGAAGAGAGCAAGGCATCATACCTTCGCAGTGGGCGTCCGTGCAGCGCTGAGGATGTAGGCATCCTGGATTTCTTTCCGGCGCGCAGCAGATGAAGTGAACTGGCGCTGGACTTGGGCCAGTCTCTGTGTTGGCTTTGGCATGGATCCCAGGCGGACGGCCGCTCTCAGTGAGGGGTGCATTATTGCGGATGAGTGGAGAGACCTGGGTAAAACAGGTAAGAATCTATGAACGGCGAGGCTGTTCAGGGAAGAAAGACGAGAGGGAAGGGAGAGAGGACGGGAGCGAGGAGATGAGGGAGAGAGGACGAGGAAGAAGGACGGATGGTCTGTCCGAGAGTACCCGCCCACCTCACCGGCCACGCGCTTTTCGCAGCAGTTCCGCCCAACACCCCCACAAGCCACAGTGGCCATCGTCCGGCTTCCCGCCCCTCGGGATTCGGCACTTCGGCTCCGAAGACGCGGAAAATTCCCCGTGATGCTGATGGACCACATTTACTCCGCAAATATTATCCATCGACACACCGGCATGTCAGTCCTAAAATATGTACTAATTATAGGGAGTTGCTACGGGAGTACTCCGTGCTTAGGGTGCGATAGAGCCTTGCAGATCTTCTAGCTCTTTCAGTCTCGAATGCACCTGGTTTGATTTGAGAGACGAGGCATTACGTCTATGGGCCTTGTGGGGGTGGAAGGCCGCGGCCTGTGACGAGGAATGGCTTCGTGCAGGAATTACACAAATCTCATTGACTAGAGTCAAGGGCTTTTGAACCCGGAGTGTGCAGAGGAGCCGGAAACTCGCCATACTGAGTAACAGAGCTGGGCTGGGAGGCCAAATCTCACTTTGGGATGTTGTGATGTCTGAGGAGGAGAAGATTCTGCTGATCGAACTCGTTAACTTTACTTATAAGACAAATTTCTATTTCCGAAAAAGCTATCTTGGATTAAATGTCATCAATGAAGATTAAACAAAAAAAGCATATCCAAGCAAATAATTCCATGGTGAATCACAAAGCGACTGCTGAAGTATATTTTAATGGCCCGTCTTTACGCCCTTAAGTACTGTAAGACTGAAGGACGGGATCTAAATTTTGGTATACGTATGCTAAAGTTATAGACTACGAGCCTCTATTTCTATTCCTCGGTGCCGTTGGGCTGAGTCACTTCAATTATTCTACCTTCAAGCTTTGGTGCAATCACCCGAGTCCACGGCGGAAGTGTATCGTTTTGTGCCTCTTCCACAGTTTTCACTTTTGCATCTTCCAATCCAACTTTCTGACGCCATCGACGCAGGACCTGTCGTGCCAGATACTCCCGGTGGTCGGCATCATCTGGCGACGTAGCCAGCTTCGTCACGTAGGTGCGCGGGCGCGAGAGAATGTCGGCCTCCGAGTCAGATTCCGTGTCCATAAGGCTTGCATCGCTGTCGTCTTCTTGACCGGATGAGGAGGTACGAGCCCCCGCAGTGGCAGCCTTGAGCCGTCTGCGAGCGACATAGTGGAAACTGGGAGTGGGCGAGGGGCTTCTCCCTGTGATGGGCGATTTCACTTTTGCTTTAGCCGACGCCGTGGTTGTAGGGGATCTAATCCAGCCTTCACAATGTAGTTGCTGGTGTACATTTTCCCAGTGTCGATGGAGACTTCGGCTAAAGCGATGCCACTTTCCGAGGACCTTCAAACTAAGGAAATACTGCCGGAGGATGGTACTAATCAATAATCCATCTTCTTCGGAGACCACTTCCTCTGCATCGCCGCCTTCGCTTTGAACAAGTAAAGATGAGAACCCATCTTTCCCTCTTGCCATGTACCCCCTAGTGGCCACTGTGTACATCTTGTCATCCTCAAGCTCAGCATCGCCGACTTTCGCCCAAAGTATACGAGAACCACGTGGTCTTGATGTCGAGAATGCAAACTGAATGTTCGAGACTTGGGAAAACCGGCCTTCCAAAGCCGGAAGCTGGCTGACACCGTTTTCTAGCGCTCCTCGGAGAGCCAGTCCGGTTATTTTCAGCACAACCACCGGGTCCTCAAATGGAAAACAGTTCAGAATGTCTTTAACACGGAGTACCCCAGGAGGATAGACTTGGTCACCACGAATTGTTCCAGCAGCCATGATTGCACAGTCAGCTCCATGGTAGAACCGCATCAGATCACAAACAAAATTGCCGAGATTTGATTCACGCGCTCGTACAGTGCAAAAGCGGCCATCGAGCGGGGTAGCGGTATATCCGATTGGCTTTTGCAACTTCCCCTTCAGAGAGGATGTGAGTTTCTCCACCAAGTGCACCGTTGAAGGGTCTTCGGGAATTGAGCGAACGACGTCCCGCCGGGTAATTGAGAATTCCCAACCAGGCCCATCCTGTTTGCGCCAGGCCTCGATATAGCTGAGTTGCTTGAAATCCGTCCCCGAGCGTAAGACGTGCACGCCATTGACGATATTATGCATATAGTAATGGTCATGGCCGCCGAGGATTATGTCTATTAACCCCGGGGGGACGTTGTTTGCAAGCTTATTATCATTCGGCTCTCGCTGGTGAGTGATAGCAATGACAAGTTCGGCGCCCTGTTCGCGAAGAGCAGGGACAAGTTCCTTGGCCGTTTCAGACGCCGATTTGTATATCAGATTAGGCGGAAGGAAATTAATCGTTGCGAGCCTGGATGGGGCGGCGTAGGCGTTAGCACACTACCGGGCATCCAAAAGCTAGTAGATGGGGGAAGACTGTGATGTGAATCGCCTACCATTCCCGCTCGCCCAATCCGATAACTCCAATCTTTATCCCATTTGAAGACACTAACATGCGAGTTCTCTCACAATTCGCGAGTGGCACTCCTTCTCCCAGCGCCGGATCCAGCACGTTTGCTAGAAGCCACGGGAACTTGCATTGGCTTCTCAAGTGCCGAAACTGCGCGATACCAAAGTCAAGATCATGGTTCTATAGGGGGACAAACGAGGCGATTCGTTAGCAGCCAGTCAGTTAACTATATCGTTACTATATAACCCGGTCCTCCCTTGTGTATTGGTTGAAACCCTGGGCCTCTGTGGACAGACAGCATCTTACTCACGCCAACACATGCAACGTCCGTCCCTGCACGGTTCAGGAAAGGCACCATATGACGGCCCTTTGTGACGGTGCTCTCGAGGCTAGGATTAAATGCATCGCCAGAGAAGAATGTCAGAAGGTCGGGCAGGCCTGCGAACCTGGAATGGTCTCTGTAATAGTTGACGAGGGTCTGAAAGCGTGGTGTTCCCCCGACGGGATCTGCGGAGCCAGTCCTGAAATAGAAATGAATCCGTTGGTTAGCAAATGACCAATCTGATGGCCGTCTATAATAACTACAGATTGAGACACGGATTCGACATACTCGACGTGGTAGACATCGTTATAATGGAGAAGACGGAGGTCTGGCGGGTCCTCACGCCCGCAATTGAAGGTCGTTGACAGACCAGCGACCTCTGTGGCCGACATGAGGCAGCTGTACCCTGATTTTGGATGTGCCAAAGGTCAAGTTTATACAGATATATTTCAGCTATGACTCTTGTTTTGAGAGTGTGATTTTCAGAGATGTGCACTGCGGCGATGAAGATGAGGACGAGGAGGGGTAGTTAAATGAGTTGGTTGAGTACTCCGTACTTATACTCCGTACTTATACTCCGTAGTTAAGGCTGACATTAATTGTTGCTCAGCCCTCTCGACCAATCCAAACAGGCAGTTCAAGAGCAAATGGCTTAACTAGTTAATGTATGCAGTGTTATGGGAGCTACAGAGCATCACTGGTGTCACCAGAGTTTCACCCAGCCAACATTGCCTGTCACAGCAGTATCTGGATAACTAGTTATGGGTTACATAGAATAATAAGGTCCATTTCTCTTCCTAAGGGCCTGACGTCACCGACAATGCTTCTTATGTGCAAGGAGTCGGTGACTATTATCTACAATGCTTGTATGGAGCAACGAATGGTGGATTCGACGCTACATGCATAGACGACGTGGATGCATCAAGAATATATCACTTTGCTGGTCTTTCAGAGAAGCTGAAGCTTTCGCATCTTCTCCCGGGTGCTCAGTCAGTGGCCCCTTTGCTATTATGTATCTCACTTTTTTTTTTTTTTTTTGGACACTCAACACTGAATATCATTCACTCTGCAGCTCATTGTCTTGGTGCAGGGTCATTAAAAAGGTACACTTGCGTCTCTGAATTTACATTTTGCTAAGCGGTTAACCCTTGATAGCATGTGCCCTCCGGGACCTGGCGATAGCAGAGGGGGTCCTATGTCCACTGCGAAGGACGGAATAGATGCTAGCTTGATCGGTCCCCACCACCATCAATGCAGATCGCACATTAGTTAATTTAGCAGAGTGACCGGACTGTTTGTATATGTATTGCTTTGAACCCACCATACACTCAGTGCAGTGAAGCCATCCGTTCGATTGCTTCACCCTGTAGGCCTTGTACACGGAATCCTGGACACCCTAATGCTCATTAAACATTCCTTTTAGGACTCAGGATGTTGTGTGCAATTGTTAGCCTGGGCAGTGCAGCCCCAGGCCGCCATTATTTACGCGGTCAATCCAAAAACCGGGGTGCTACTATGAAAAGTGAATTTACCTAGAATCAGTATTTCCTGGACCAGGTGCGTGGTCTTCGCGGATTTGATGGGGGGATAGAACAGCCCTAAGCCTGCTTTTGCTGCTGTGAATCCACCCGCTGGTAATTTTCTTCTGAGATACAGCCGAAGGCACGGCTCATATCTAGCAGGGGGCGAAGGTCAATACGTAATTTCTGAAGAGCGGTGGCTAGATCATTCATTGGCACGGGGCAGAACCCAGCTTGTTGCCTCCTGCGAAAGCAGAACGTATGAACCGAGCGCGGTAGGCGATCGCCGGCATTGGATAGTACGGGAGGTGATAAGAAAGGGGATCGTTCTGTGGGGATTAGGGTAAAGACATAGCTGCGAGGTGGACTGGTAGGAGCAAATTTTGAACTATTGATGGGTTTACAGATCGTCTGCTTTCTCCCAAGGAGCAGCGGGCTGCATGAAGGAGTGGACAATGATTGCCTTGGAGGTATCGAGCATGGAACAAGCACAGCTTCCCTTTCTCGTGGGCCGTCATCGACGGCGGAGGGCCCAACTAGAGCCATGCTGATCTACGAATCGGTCTTGATGCTTGCGCATTCACGACAGATTCTTCTGGGGATGATCATCTTCCTCGAGAACTGCGGGGATGGCGAATATATATCGGAGAAACCACCTGGACTGTGTTTCCTTTTTCCAAGTCCCAATATGGAATTGCTCTAGGGAGTGATCATATAAATTTTTAGTGAGCGGATTTGAAATTGAACAAACAAAGCCAGAAATTGCATGCTCTAGTTAAAGGCGGCCATACCATAACTCCAATCGCTGCCATGGCTACTCCAAATCTCAGATTAAATCCAAAAAGAGGATGCTAATGATGCTACTCACAACAATGATCATGTCAAATGTATTTAGCGCGCTAAGTCCACAAAGATGGCTATCGATCTGTTACGGTCCATCGCCTTTTACCCTGGGATTCTCTCTCAGGAGCTTTACTCCATAACCCATGGCTGGTTTGGGGTACGGCAGGGATGGACGACTGGATCGGTACATTTACTGTCACAGTTTGGGACTTTGGATCTTTGCTGAGAGATTCGGGGCCTTTGCAATCTCCGAAGTTAGGGATAAGATCGTCCGCTGGATCAGGCGACGAAACGGATCCCCAGAGACCGGACGACAACCGACTCGCAAAGGCGGATCGAGAAGGGGGACGTTGAGAGGAGAGTTTGGGGTAGTTTAAAGTTCGGTTGGAGGAATCACCTAGAGGCAAGCTCCCCCGAGAGCTGGTAGAACTGGAAGTAGAACTAAACCTTTGCCGATGGGAATAGTCTGAACTTGGGAATCCTCGGGAAGACGCTGGGCCCAAGGCAGCAGTGCTATTTGCGGCTCTCAAGTGATCAGTAGAGGCTAGGATGCTGACATCGTATTCATCGGCAAGATTGACCTGGGAGTAAGCACCGTCCGGCTGTGGGAACGAGCCCCCAGGGGCTTCGGCCTTGCGGACGGCCATAGTCAGGGATGATATCCCAATATCGAGCAGAGCAGGACGATTGGTCAGAGCTCCTATTAAAGCATTGCAGCCAGCACCATGCGTGACCAATATGACTATGGTTTCCACATCATCATTGCCATCATCGTGGCTTTCTGGTATCATGGGGTCCTTGATATATGCAGAGCCGTTGCATTTGTACCATGATATCATACGTTCTAGGCCATCACGAAACCTTCGGTGCATCGAGCTCCATTCTTCTCCATACTCTCCGCCAGTACCCCAAGATTGAGGCTCACGCATACTATCCCACTGATAGTCCACCTCAACACATGCATCACGCGCATGTGCGACGTATCCACGCGGGATCGCATCCGAAGGCTTGACCGCATAGGTGGGAGTGGGTGGAACATAGCCACCGTGCTGGTTTGGTAGAGCTGTGGATAGTTTGGAGAGCACTGGGCGTCTGCTAGCATTTAAACCGCCAGAGGGCCCATCGAGAGTGCCAGAACGGGTTCTAGTTGGAATACTCTGGGAAGCCCCGAAAGACGTACTGCCGTCGAAAGAATTTGTGGATGACCTCTTCCAGCCACCCGGGAAAAACCCAGAAGCCGAGGCGAGATCAGCAGGCGAACTTAGTTCAATAGCTTCGGCGGGACGTAAGAGATCTGCCTTTGCGCTGGCTACCATCATGACCGAGCCCGGTGGAGGCGGGATCTGCTCAAAATAATCTGGGGTGAGCCACTCTCCAAGAAAGGCATCCAAGCGGAGGATACAGTGTCGGTTTCGCTCCTTGCTCGTGGTCGTGGGATCTTTATTTGCCTTGTCTGCGTGACCTTCTCCAAGATCGAGCGCATCGTCAGTTGAACGACCTTGAGTAGTAGTGGAACCGAACGGGTTGCTCCCGGGGGAAGATGGCTGAATCGCAAGCGCAGAGCCTTTCGCCTGACTTATTCCGGCGCTTATGGCAATCGCTGTCTGCACGCAGCGGAGGAATGGGGAGCAGTGGATAATGATTTTTTGTTTTCGCGGCGTTGTTCTTTGCGCTGGAGATTCGGTTAACGTGTCAGAGCTGGATTGTGTCTGTTCCCGTTCTCGCAGTAGGCTTTCGATGCGAATCCCGAGCATGCGCGACTGGTTCCAACCACCGTACGTCAGAGGGGGATCATACGGAGTGGGAGAAGTGAGATGCCAGTGCTTATCGACTGCATCAAGGCGGGCCCCATGTCTGTACGGAGAAATGGCAATTGCTCAGCTTTCAACCAACACCGACGATGCGTAACTAAGGATTGGAGGTGGGGAGGGTAGTACAGACCTCACAACGAATGTGACTGCTGGGGCCTTTCCCATGGCCACAACGCAATAATCACGGGCAGGATCGGACAAGAAACTCGCATTCAAATATGCAGCGAAGCTATGGATGGTGTGCAAGGGAGCTATCCGGGAAGTTCTCGTGCTCCCAAAGCTATGACTGGAGCGAGTGTAGTCCGAGTGATGCAGGCAGATAAGATAAAGATGAGAGGATACATAAAATTAGAAATAGTATTGGAAGATCAGTGGAGAATGTGATCCCAAAAAGCAAGAGACAGCTAATAGCACCAGATCCCAAGGGGCTCTAGCGAGAGAGAGTGACGGGGATGTTGTTGGTTAGTTGTTTGCTCGTTCGTTTCGTTCGTTCATTCGGGGGAGCGAAGATCTGGCGAGAGGAGAAAACCAGCAAAGCAGCCAAACAGCCGCCAGGGCAGAGACTGAAACTGGCATGTGATTGTGGAGCAGCCTTATGTAGTTAGTTATGTAAGTGGCGTCGTCCCACCATTGCGCGCTAGACCTCATCGGGTACTTATTTGGCTTCTTCAAGATGATAATAACTGCCAGCTGCTAGGTCCTCTCTCTCCAACAATCTTGCATCTTTCTACGGCAGCCTCCTCTAGACTTGACCTAACACCAAAGGGAAGGGCTGGCTTGTACAAGGCCACAAGATCTATTGCAAAGCTGTGCACGGCCCGCAAAAAGTACAGAGTACGCGTTCGGCATTTTAAATTTCACTGGACCCATAGTTAGAGCAGCTGATACCTCCTATGGGAGCTGAAGCCAGGAGAAAGACAAAGCCAGCAGAGTGATCAGCTCTCCATCAGCTGGAAGCTCTTCAGGGGGTCACTGGTGAGTATCTGAACAAAAGTGTTCCATCCTTATTGATGTAGCTTTCTCCTTCATGAAGGTACCTTGACACAAAAGGAATTCCTTGGTCATTTGCGTGCTGAATTTCGGTCTTGATAACAAACTTCGAGGTGGACTTGATGATTGTAAAAGTGAAATGTGTAAAGCGTGGGCTCGTCCGTTCCATGTACCAAAAGAATTGCGAGGGGCATGTCTGTTATGTCAAGAACCTGGTGAGGCTCCCAGACACAAAACACCTCAAGCAACCATGTATGTCGAACAAAGTTGGTTATGTCGAAAATGCAGAGTACTCGGTGCTTTTAACCCTCAACATCAATATATAACATTTACCTGTGTATGTATGCACATGTATGCCACACAGACTATGTAACTAGTAATCCTGTACATACGTAGACCATTTCCATCCCTCTGCCTGACAGCATCAACAGTTTATTCTATCAACCCTCTTTTCTGCACGCAGAATTGGCGTGGTGTCTTCTGTATAGAACATCATGTACAAACAAAACATTAACCGGGGCATCAACATATATGATGTTCGCGCCTAAAAGGTATTGTGACAAAAGGAGTATATGACCAAGGGGGAATGAACAAGGTGGAGAGGTAGGATAACATCATAACAGACCAGGCCAGAAGCAAGAGATCCCAACAGCGCTCATTATCATCATCATCATCATCTGTCCATCAATCCATCCATCCTTTCACCCAACCAACATCCTAGCAGGAAGGCCATAGACAAAGCCAGAGCTTCAAACAGTTTGACAATCATCGTTGGTTAAAGAACCAGGTGGTGCGCTTGGCCCTGCCAGACGTTGCATCGTTTGCCGGAGGGCTGGTAGCGTTAGGCTGCTCTGTCCCGCCTCCTCCTCGAAGGGGTTTTGCTATCCTCGAGCCTCCGAAGCTAAAGGATAAGCCGTCGGAAGAGGGCAGACCGCGCGTAGACCCAGCCTTGGCGGCTTCCAGGCGTTCCTTCACGACGGTGAGCTGCGCTTCAAACCTACATCGCGCGGGGAAACAAAATGAAAGCGTCAGCCTTGATTTTAATTGCCTATGATAGTAGAGGGACCATACCGGTGATTCGCAGCCGTGAGTTTCTCCTGGCTTTCTTGGAGAAGTGTCTCCAGGCTTTCAATCCTCTCATTCCGAGCAATCAACTTCCTTTCAGCAATGGCAACCTCCCTTTTTAGGCTGCTGTTCTGCTCAACGAGCTGCCGCTGCACGTGTGTCAACTGTTCCAGATTCCTTTCCAGGAACGCCATCTTCTTTTGCTGCTGACGATTATTCGAAGACTGTACAACGTGCTTATATTGCTCACGGGCCTCATCAAGAGAAATCTCCAGCTCAACGACCCTCTCGCATCGATTCTGCAAGTCACGCATTAGGGATTTCTTCATGGCGTCAAAATCTGCGATCTGCTGATGCAACGTTTTGCTGTTGACTGTAGGTGTCGTGTTGCTGGATCCGTTGGGCTGAGAGCGAGCTTCCGCGAGCGACTGCTTCAAGCGCTCGAGCTCTCCATCCTTGCGGGCGATCTCGCTTCGTAAGCTATCTACTTCCAGGTGGTCGATATCTTTCCGCGCCGCATACGCCTGTTCTAGCCGCTCCTTGATCTCAACTACATCGTTAGCATCAAGCCCCTGTTCTAAAGCAGCTTCCAACTCCTGTTGGAGTTTGACTATTCTCTGCAAGAGCTGGGCGTCAGGGGGAACGTCAGCACGGTCATTCATCGCCAACTCAGCCTGCCGCACTACCCCTTGGGTCTCAAGGAGGGATGACCGTAACTCCAAAAATTCATCCGGGGCGACCACCTCGCCGGACGAACTGGTCGCATGCAAAGAATCCACTCGTTCGACCAGCTTTTGTATCTTCCTCTCGTTCTCTGAGAAAAAGTCCATCTTGAGATCGAATCCGGCCATCATTTGAGCCATGCGTTCGGCCTTCTTCCGATCCTTCTCATCCAATGCCGCGCTGGTTTCCCTTGCACTCATCCTAGCGTCGAGAAGCTGCTGCTTGAGCTCGTCCAACTCGGCTGTCAGTTCTGAGTTGGCATCCTTGAGCGTGTCCATAGTAATCGCCGCCTCCTTGCTTTCAAATGAAACTTTCTCCAACTGCATGCGAAGCTCGTTAACCTCTGTATTTAGCTTTTCATTATCCTTTCCCGTCCGAACAGCCGATTCCTTCAGGATTTTAAGCTCCTCCTTCTTCTCTACCAACATTTTCTCCGCATCCGCAATCTGCGTCTCTCGTTCTGCCAGCTGATCTTGAAGGTCATTTTCACGCTTCAAAAATTCCTCGCGTTCATCCTTCTCTAGGACTATGGTGGGAGTGCTGGATCGATCGCCAACTCTCGAGTCTGGCCGACTGCTGGGGGTCTCAGAGCGTGCCTCTGTCTGCAGACGCGAAGGCGTCGCAGGACGCGGCGCTTTTGCGTCGAGTTTTATCCCTGCAACCCCTTCTCCCGTCCTTAAAGCCACCCATCTCTCTTGGGGAACAGTATCGCCACTCCGCCAGAGCTGGATTTCGGATTCCAAGGATGCAATGTACTTTTCAAACGTCACAGCCTGATTCTGTGCCTTTTTCAGGAGCTGCTTCAGCTCTGCAGGGCTCAGTTCTGCATTGATCTTTGCCTTATTCTTAATCGCCTTCGCACGAACGCCGAAGCGAAGGGTGCTTATCGTCTCAGCATCGTTGTAACTGCTTGGAGAGCAGTTAATGATCAATGTGGTGCGGGAATTTCCTCCCAAGCTCTCCTGTAGTATGCGAGTAAGTTTTGAGTCTCGGTAGGGGATATGCGTCGACTTTCCATCTGTAAGGGCGTTGATGACCATTCCCAGAGCGCTCAGACTCTTATTGATCTTCTTTGCTTCCTCCAATGTCTGACCGCTCGCTCCCGTCTTCCCCACTTTCTCACTACCAGCAAGATCGACGAGAAAAAGCTGACCGCTCTTCGCAGAGCCAGTTTCCACATTCTTTTGCGTAATGGTGATGACGAAAATGGAATGTGAGCGTGAAGACTCCTGGTTCATATTTGTCGCTGCAACCGCCCGTGCCGCATCACCTCTTCGCATTACTTCGTAGACTTCCTGGACGCTAGACACGTATATCTCGAGCAGTCCCTTGACGTAGACGCCTCTAGACTTCTCCTCGTGGACAGGAAGGTTGTCATTTTGCGGCAGCAAGAGATCTCGGATCCGCTCCATGTAGATTTCCATATAACTCACACGAACCGTATATTCAATATTCCCGGGACTCGTCATGATACTCGTAAACATCTGTTCTACGATCCGCGGTATTATGCCTTTTCCTTCGTCATCGTCAATATCTGACCCCATCATCGTGTATGATTTGCCAGCGCCCGTTTGACCGTAGGCGAAAACAGTTCCATTGTAACCGTTAAGGATATCGTCGACCGTGGAACGAATAGAGTAGTCAAAAACGTCCTGCTGGCGACAGTTCATGTCAAATATTCGGTCGAATGTAAACGCTCCAGAAGCTTCTCTCGACTAAACGGGGTCAAAAATTTCAGGTCAGCAAACAGTGGAGCGTCCAGAGTGATATCAAAGTTGGGGCAGTAACAGCCCGAGCGCCAAGGGAAAAAGAAAGATGGTAGGGAGGGAGGGAGGGAGGGCGCTGCAAATCTTCGCGTACGTTGATCCGGCATGTTTCCTCCGACTCGAAGTCGACAATCGGCTGTCCACCGTTGGCGACTTCGATCTTGTTCTGAGGTCGAAACCGCGCGACCACTGAGAAGCAAACAGAAGTAAGCAAAATCGTTTCAGTAGTTGCGATGTTTGCTGAGCGCTTTACTTGCCCTTGATGGTGTTGTAACTTCCAGTGGCCCCGGACCTGCGGGTGCTACCAGTCAGCCTATCTACCTTGAACCGAGCGTGAGGGGGTGTAGCAAGACTTACGCCATGATGGCCCCTGTGACCGTGCCGAAGCTCAGTCAAAGGAACACTGGGAGCCGTGAAACCGCCGGAGAAATGTGAGAGGAATGGAGGACTTTATCTTCCAACGAAGGACTCGCCGCTTCAGGGGCGGGTGTGTGTGTATTCGAGACGGCCTCGAGCTGGGAGAGCAGCGAAATGAGCAAGGGGCCCACGTGAGAACCCGACGAGAAAATCGAAAACGTCAAGCCGAGTTGAAACTCAAAGGGAAACTCCTAGCAAAAGCCACAGAACACAGGTAAAAAGCAGGGAATTAAAAAGAATGTGGACGATAATGAAACCTCCATCGTCCACAAACCCCCGTGTTAATGGTCGGTGAAAATGTCGTGGAAGCGGAGCATAGTCAGCAGCGGTCTTGGCGTTTGTTTATGTGCTCCGTCCAGCACGACTGGTTTAGTTCATAGCCTAAAATTGAGCTCGCGCGTTCCCTTGGGCCATGGTCGGCGGACTCGACCTTGGGAATGCTCGCGACCGTGTACCGCCTTTTGTCTTCTCTCTCCTATATTACATCCCGTACATATACACCTACATAGGATCCTCAGTACTCCGTATATCCGTAAAATATACTTCCATGCAGCTACCTGAAATCGGACATCTAATAATTGTAAGAGAGGAAAAAGACAACCAACAAATGGAAACCAAGATTCTTCTCGTCCCATTAATAGAAGCAACCAAAAAAGCAGCGCCGAACCCCTTCGCTGTGCATATGAAAAGAGGAGGAAAAAAAAAAAAAAAAAAAAAAAAAAAAGAGGAAAAGAAAAAAGGAAAAGAAAAGAGGGAAAGAAAAGAAAACAAAAGAAACAATCGGTTCCCTTACATGCTGCCCGCCAAAGATCAGATGAAACCTCGATGTCGGGCAGTGCTTTACGTGCACCTAAAATTTAAATGCACGGAGAGCAAGCCGTCGCATCAAGCTAGGACAAGTATTTAAAATAAGGAAAAAGGGTAAAGCCCTCAAAGGAGACACGCAGAGAGACATACACACACTGAGATAGGGGCAGGGAAAAGAGACTTCGCCAACGGAGAGATGCTTGACAGTGGACATTCGTAAACAGACATGACAAGTGACATAATCGCAGCGTTTCATATCGGGGCATTACTAGGAAGATTGGCAAACTGAACTATCTCAATCCTCCCAGCTCTTCTCGACAGTTTCGCGCACACGCTTTGCGTACTCCTTTCGGTTATCCTTGTACAGGTTGGATGCCTCCACGTTCGCGGGAGAGGAGGTGTTTGGGTCATTCAGCAAGCTGGTGGCAAAGCACGGATAGGTCAGTACATTTGAGTGATATGACGGCAATGAGACATACCTTTGAATGCTGGTTAATATCGCCGCTACATCGTACGTCGGGCTCCAACGGTTCTGGAGGATGTCGAGGCACAATTCGCCAGTTCCGTAGACGTTGGGATGGAACATCTTGCTGACAAACTTGACGCCGGGAGGCTTATTGGGGTACTGCTCTTCGAAGTGCATCACAAGTCGGAAGGTCCCGTCCTCAAAGGGGGTGTCTGCGGGACCAATAATGACGGCATTCCTGTCTCGAGTGATGAGTCTAATGTGCAAGTGAAGGTTCCGATGGCATGGACATACCATGTCATGACATTATCCGCAACTGGAGAAGCAGAGACCCCGGCAGGAGGGTCGGTTTGCATCCGCTAATTGTGGTAACATACGTCAGCAAAGATGGTTTATTTAAGGAGAGGGGCGGGGTTTCTCTCGGAGCGGAGAGCAAGAAAGCAAGACAACTTGTCGTTGCCGCAAGGGGGTGTCTATCGGTCGAGGGCAACGCATAGGAACACTGTTGAAGATGCTCACCTTGAAGTCTCTCATCAATCGACGGCGCGCAGAGGTCGACATGGTTGATCACGCGAGTCCGGGACGAAAGGGTTCAAATGGATTCAGATGGCGACTTGACAAGGGGAGCAAGAAGGGGGAGCTCGAGCAAAGGTAGAGAAAGTGAGGACGTTCAGGCCTCGCAGGATACTCGATTTTTGAAACGTTCGGGAAACGCTGGGTAGATCGTTGCGGACGACGACGGGTGGCCTGGGAATGGCACTGAGTGACAAGTTCGCTGCGGATCCCCGTCAGGTCTGCCATTCTTGCCTGTGCTGCGGGTGGAAGACGCTGGAACGTCGGGCTAGACCGGATCGGAACTAGTCGGAAACATTATATAATCCCACGTGCTTTGTTGTCACGTGATAGATCGAGGATACCTAATGACCTGGTTTTATCCTCCCAAACAACCAATGACAAGCATATCAGTCCTCCATCAGGCTATAAATGGATGTAATTCAGCCTGTCTCTAAAGAGATACAGAAGATGCAGAAAAGTCTGGAAGAAATGGAACAACAATTAAACCGCGAACGTGGCCGTCGAAGTTCAGGATACGAATCCGCTGAAGTAGACGTAGAAGAAGATGCTCAGCCAACAAATCCGAGAGAGAAATTCAAAGTGCTATGTGGATAAAATCGCAGATCCACATAACAGAAGTTGACAACTTTATCGCGCAATTCCTGGATACTGAAAATACCGTCAGGAAGCCTATGTACCCTAACTGCCAGTGTCAACAATTATGCCGAGTGGAAGCAAGATGCCCTCGTAGTAGCCGAGCTAGCAGATGTTGAAGATATTATCCTAGAGGAGCAAACAGCATCGCGACAACCTCATAATCCCGCTGCTATAAAGCTTAGGAAAGCCAAGACTAAGTGACTATACAGCCTAATTAACAGCAGTATATCCTCACAAGCTAGAGTCCACTTCAAACAGCCAGATAGCCTCGTCGGCTACTTCGTACAGGCTTTGGATACTTGTAGAAACGGCTTTTGAGGAGAGACAAATTCAACGAGGACGCCTAGCAAATGAGATCAGGAGTATGACAGCCCAGCCGGTTAGCGGAGAAAGGAACTACATAGAGAGATTCCTAGCAATTCTCATGGATCTTGATCGAATTGGATTCCCCTACCATAGCCACATATTACACGATATTTTCAAGGACAACACCACGCCTCGATGGAGAGAATTCATGCAGACCCCACTTGAGATGGCTTACCGCGAAGGATCTGACCTGCCGGAGCAGGAGCTGAACAGCTTGCTGCAGGATATATCATACCGAATCCGCAAACAAGGCGAGAGCATGAGGAGAAGCCCGGCCAAGACAAATAAGAATTCAACAAGAGTTCAAATTCGAGCCCGAATTCGAATTGAACGTCTAAGAAGAACACAATTCAGTTCAAACCTCGTTGGTTTGTACGTGGATTTAAGCAGCAAGAAGGTGTTCACTATAAGAAGATCTACGCAGCTGTTGTAAGTGGTCTACTACTAGAGCTTCTTCGCGATCTCAGCAGCCAGAAATTGGAGAGTTAGAGTCTTTTATTTCGTTACAGCCTTCCTAAATGGAACTTTTCCAGGGGAAGAGCGTGTTTTAAAGCATCGCACTTGGGAATTTGGTACGGCTCGTACGCCAGGGGTTCTACGGGTTGAAACAGGGTTACTACGCACTAGTATCAAGCAGCTACTGAACACTGGAAATCCCTAGGATTTCAAACGATGTCGGCATGCTCTATCACAAGAGGAGGCCACTCTATTTGACTGTACACGTTGATGACTGCTATATAATGGGACCCGATGGATCTGAGATTGACTGGCTCCTAAAAATGCTTCAACATCGCTTTGAGATGAAGAAAGTTACGAGTCAAAGCCATTTCCTAGGCATGCAAGCTCAAAAAGCCAAATGGAGATCTCTTTGTTAGGCAAGAACAGTATACTGAGGATTTACAAACTGAATCCGACATGGAAGACTGTAAACCTTCTCTGACCCCTATGATAAAGGAAATCTACAGTAACTTCGTGCCAGATCAAGCTGGCGAAGAATCAGCTGGAGCCAATAAGCAGTTCACGCCTACTAACTATAGGAAGGGCATGGGCTCCATGCAGTTCCTAATTACATCTACAAGGCCAGATCTTGCATTAACTGTCTAACGGTCAATTACCTATCCAAATTCAACAGCTGGCCAAATAGGGAATGTTAGATGGCATTCAAACATGTCCTACAATACCTCAAAGGTATGAAAATGAAGGGTATAGTCCTCAAAGGAACAGGTTCAGAGGTTGGAACTAGTCACAATCACAGATTCTGACTATAAATCTACCAGCAGCTACATTGTTACAATTAACAGAGCTCCAAGCCTGTTTTAAAATGCACAACCGAGACAGAATATCTAGCAGCTAGCAAAGCTGCTTGTGAATTGGTGTGGTTTAACAACATGTTGATGGAAGCAGATGTCACTAGCAAAAACTCAGCAAAGCTTAGGACCGCAAAATTGAATGTTGACAACATAGGAGCTGTCAACTTAGCCAAAGCTGAACCTATACTTCGAAGAACACACCATATCAGGGTTTGCTGCCATATGTTGAGAGATTGGGTTTAAAAGAATGAAATCTCAAACAAGCACATTGGAACCAATGTGATTAAAGCCAATGGGCTCACAAAAGCTCTTGCAAAGTACCCTTATATCAGTTTTGGGGCGCGATAGGGGTGATGGGTTTGATACAACATCATTATGGAGATTTTTGTGGGTGGTGTCAGTTAAATTACAGTATCACAATGGATTCAGCTACAGTACACAAACTTTGTGTGGCTCACATCTGTTGGTAAGCTCATTGCATCCACGGGGGTAGATGTTATGTAGGTAGTTAGGCGGAACACATGAGAAGTCAGAACAGTGTATGGGAATTCCAATATCTTGTTGATACACCATTCAGGAAATAACTTCACATGCCTGAAGCTACCTCCTATGATTTCAAGGACCAAAGTGCATCCTTCAATAGCAGGTTACATTTGTACACACATGTACCTTCATCATCTGTCTGATCATAACTGTAAATCATTTCATTAGAGAACATTTACAATGAACTGATTGGCGTGTAGTACCACTATGGAAGTTGCCTGGTGCCTTTCAACACGACCGTCTAGCACGACACGCGCCGGCACCTGGGAACTAGACCCATGCACCTATCATCACTGTTGCCCGAGGGCGAAGAAAGATACTTTCATGCTCTTAATCAGGAAAACCACGGATGATCAAGTAGCGTGCTCACTTGTGGTCTGTCATCAGGGTTGATCTTAAGCATACTCCTTAACAAATCAATCAGTTGGTCTGTATCCCGCTGAGAGGGTGCGCAAGGCCGATGAATCCGCTGCTCGGCCCAGAACCCTTCCGTATCAAGCTGTCGTCGTTCTGGAGGGAGAAGTGTTAGAATTGAGTCTCGTGACAGAAACGATAGAGGCGTTCGACAGACATACCGCCAGCGTTTGCGCAAACCTTATCCAAGTCCCAGTACGGCCTCCAGGCAGGTGGGAGAGGGCCAGCTAGTTCAAGAGTATGGTATATAATCCAATCACCTCGACCCAATCCATGCAGCAAGGCATAGCCATAATTCATATGGTAGATCTACCGCCCTGGGTCAGATAGCGGAAAGCGGTGGCGAAGAGCTCGTCCCCGCGGGTCTGAACTTACAGTGCACGCCGCCGCCCAGACATCTATAGGTTTATCCCAATCCGACCCTACCTTACCATTTGAAAGCTCACAGAAGGTTACCTCGGGAGCGCGGATGGCTATGGGAGTGTTTGATGGCGGTCTTTTGTCTGACTTTCGAAACGCTAGGAATTTCAGTCACTATTACCTGTAGATGGTAATCCGATAGTAGCCGCTTACAGTTTCCAAGATCCATGATCTTGAGGCAGAGGGGTTCATAAGTTGCACTATTCCCTGCTTTCCATTCTAAAAATTCCACCAGAGAGACAGACGGAACAAGATATGCCGGGACAGACTCATTCTGATCCAATGGATTTTGAGCCACAACAGGAACAATTTCAGGATTGGCAAAATGCTCCATTATTGACTCTTCTGGATACTCATTCAGCTGAGGCATGCTCACAGCAAGATTCCCAATATGTAAGTCTGTAATTTAATCAGATATGGTATAGTGTCTTGGAGACACTGAAATAATACTTACCACCATGAGTCACTCCTTGACTATGCAAGTATGAAAGTCCCATTATAGCCTGAAGTGAGAGCTTCTTGACACAAGCTTTAAAAATTGAAGTATCACGGAAATACCTCATGCCACCTACTACTTCAGTAACAATGCAATCATGTATTCCATTGGGCCCTTGAATCGTGAAGTCATCTAATAGATGGATAACATTATTATATCCAAGCTGATTCTGATGACTGGAATCCCGTAACTGCCGAAGAATTCGGATCTCATTGTTCTCACCAGTGATACATGAAATGTTGATTTTGAGAGCAACATAACCACTATATCAGTATAAATCAGTCATCAAATATGCTGATGGACCACACAATTAGCATCACATACAGAGAGCCCAAAAGATCCTTTGCTAGCCATACTGTAGCAAAAGCACCATGGCCTAACTTTTGCAAAATCCAGTACCTTGGTTTTCGAGTGTTGGAAGTTGACTGCTTGGGCAATACCTCACCAAGGAGTACAGGGTGATATCCTCCAGGTTTGTACTTGCGCATATCCTCTACCTCGCCGTCATCGCCATCATAGAAGAACTTTTCAACTATCGCCATTGTTGAAATATATGAGATCAAGCCAGATATGGAGATTGAATTGTCACCATGCAGGTGTACAAGGAAATGCAGAATTCCTATTCAAAGTCAGGCCCGGATTCCGGAAAGCTCACTCTGGCAAGTGTACTACTACTGTACACAACTTGGGTCCCATACCAAAAAATGAGCTTGATTGATTGATTGATTGATTATGTCATCCACCATCCCAGCCGCTTTGTCAGCAGCTATGCGGGCGTGACCCCTCATGAATAAAGACAACCCCATATCATCAGGACCTAACTTTTGAAAATATCTCCACAAGCACCTTTCTATCTGGCTCACACAGTGGCTCAATATGCTTGCCAGAGCTCAAGGTATCACGCAATACCAAGAAAAGCATGATGAGCAGTCAAAATGCTCCTTGAATAGGCCTTCAGCCAGGAATTCTGTAAGTATCTAGTCCTTAGAGATTGCAACTGGGGGGAAGGAACTATTGCAACTGACTTCAACCAGGTGGGACCACATTGTGCATCATTTCTCATGGGACATCAATGCTCTCGCGAAAGCTGATGCCATTATCTCAACATGTGGTACCATCAACTATGCCTAGAAGGTTCTGGTGCCTGAACTGCTGGTGATGCCTCAACCGCGGAGTAGTAGTTTTCGCAAACAAGAAAAAAGAGAAAGAGAATAATAATAATAATGATAACAACAATAATGATAACAACAATAATGATAACAACAATAATGATGAACTTGTTATTTAGACAGTTTCTGATCATTTGCTGGCTTCAGCCATTAATTAGTTTTAATACTTTGTTTTTTTTCCACAATCAAATTAATTGCAGAAATAGTATAGATTAGAGAAGTAATCAGATAATCTTATTAAATAAGATCTGAAATATTCATGACCAAACTTTAATTAGCAAATAATTAACCATATTTTCTTAGTTAGCAGCGAGTCAATTAGTTATGTATGGGAGTTACTGCAAACAGTCTGCGCGAGTGTGTCTTGCAGACTCTCTCCACCATCATATCTCTGCACCCCGTTGACCCTTGTGCTTCACATGCTGCTTTTGTGACCGGCTGCTCATGCTGTCTGTAGTCCTCCAATGATAATGGATTGCAAGCGCGTAAAGCGCTATCATCATGTTGGGGGCCAGAAGCCATATCCAGTGGCTGTATTTTGCACTCCTCTCGACCCCTATTTGATAAAAGCCCCGGACCCGAAAGGCTGGGAACTCTGATGATTCGTTATTATGATGTGGTAATGTGTTGAGCATGGGTGCGCCACAAGCTCACATACCCTCAGGGTCTCACATTATCCGTGTTGGACGGCTATCCTTAGCTATATTGCTGTTCCCAAGTTGCTCCTGCGCATGCTGGGTGCCAAAGCTATCCGACATTTCCACCCATGAATGAGCGTGCCAGTCGCAAAGATTGGCTTAGCCAAGTCTCGCGACCAATTATCATGGGCGGCAAGAGCAGATTTATCTCGCCCCTTCTCAGCGGCCGCAGTTTTCAACTCGGCACCGCCTGGAGGCCAGTCGTAAAAGGGCATGCGTTCCTGATTGCTTCGTCCTCATTCCAATACCAACTTCAACCGATTCTGACTACTCGCTCCAATCTCGAATGAGTTTGACACGTCCGCCTCGCAATGTCCTCAGCATCGAAAACAATCGGTGGAGTGGTAGTTCTTTACCTCCACGATGTCCCAACCGGGGCTAAATTGGACCATGAGCTGAAAGTTATTGAGACTTTCTTGACCCGCTGGAATGATGGGGAAAAATTATTACAGCCCTTTAAATCCAAATTTCAATTTGATCGCTAACCATCACCTAGGACGTAAACGGGAAGACACCAACTAAGTCCCGCGCTGTCCCTGTTGCGGCCGCTATGGTAACGTGAGTGCGCAAGTACTCGATTAATTACGCGCAGCACTGAGTATAATTCTAGTTCGGGCGACCACATCTCCGGCAGTACCCCGGACGAACGAAAGCATATCACGCTTCGACTGGGCTCCGCGTCCGATTGGAGTAAGGATCCGAGGGAAACATGCGCATGCGTGCACGTGTACTACAAAGAAGATAAGGTTGAGAATGGTTATGAAAGCTATTTGCTCAAAAACACCAGGAAGAGCAAGAACAATTCCAAATATATCAAGGATAAGGTTCAAGCAGCTCTAGACAACCCTCTGTGAGATGTGCCAGTGCGGCCGAGACATCCGGCTTTGCGTGGCAGACGGTGAGAGACTGCGCGAGGATAGCTGCAGTTTCCTTTGAAATGCGCCTGGGCACTACTGGTGACTAAGAACATCATAGCTGCTACTGAGGTATTGTTAAAACCAAGAACTCCATTCAATCCTCCACAGGCAAGCTGGCAAGTGATAATTATTTTTATCTGCCAATTGCACAATAGTTGGTTCAGTCTACCTTGATAGATCTATATATACGGTGAATAAACGCCCAGGAGGCGAAAAATCCGATCGAGCCTAGAATGTATAGTTAGATTGTCGTCTCCCCGACCAAAATGTAGCAACAGCCAAAGCTTACCAGTCAGAATGAAAGCTAAGAATGCTAACAATGCCGAATATCCCAAATAAAGGATGGCGCCAGTGATTCCGCCAAAGCTAACCCGTGTTACCCAAAAGATAAGGGCGTTAATGAAAACATACCCGCCCGTCATGCCGGCGCCGATGAACGATCTCCATTGCCACCGGTAGTCCTCAGCACAGAGAAGGAAATATACTAGGAGTATAGTGGTCATGGCGGACATCATGATCATCAAACCGTAGCAAAGGAAGAGAAAGCCAAACATATAGTAGATTTTACCGGTCCAGAGCGAATTCATGATGAAGTACAACTCAACAAAGATAGCCGCAAAGGGAAGTAAGCCGGCAATCAAAGTAGACGGGATCAGTCGGAGCGAACCAACCGCTGGAGGGATCTGACGGGGGATCTGATTTGTTTTCGTCGGCCCTTCGAGAGCCTGATAAATTGATTGTTAGGATATCCCTGAGGGCCCGAACAGGAAATTGAAACACATACCGGTTGTTTGAACCCGATCCAGCTGCCTGCCACGCTGAGAGGCACGCTGATAATAAACCATATCAAAACTATAACTACCATGGTGGTGAAAGGCACAGCGCCACTGGCCCCTTTAATCCAGAGGATGAAGTTTAGGAAAAAGAACACCGAAAACACAATAGCCGGTAACACGAGAGGCGTTGCAATGATGAGTTGCTTCCAAGCTTCACCTCCAAACGACTTATAAGCTCTGGCTGAAACGTAGCCGCCGATAGAGCCGAGGAAAGTATAGAGTATCAGGATGACTGTTCCCAAAAACCCTCTGTTCGACGGAGAGAGAAGACCGAACAAGGCAAAGACTATTTTCTCTCAGCACCAATGAACGTATCGACTTGCCGTGGGGTACCACTTACGAACTGTCAGGCCAGTCATCATGAAGAGCTGGGCGCCATTTCCCAAGAATACGCTCAGCAGTAATGGCTGTTTCGGGCAACGGAATACGTCACCGTGCACGAGCTTCCAACCAGAATCTTCCTGAATTCCATCTTCGACGGAAGCCGGATTTCCATCCAAGTCGTCCAGGTTGATCATGTTGAGCCTGTTGTACCTCGCGATATCTTTTCGTAGTGCTCGGAGTAAGATCGTGCTAACTAGGGCCACTAGCAGGATGACAAAAACCGCGGAGTAAATGAGCGAGTACCAATGCACGCTGGGATCATAGACGTGCAGGTACTTATCCCAGCGCGTGGCCCAGGCTGTCGGGGATTCCCTCCAGATGACACTATAAGTCCAAGCGACGGTCGTGTCTTCGTCTTCACTGAGAGAAACCGGAGGTCCGTTCGGTGAGCATTCAGCTTTTTTATCATCATTCAGGACCTTTGATGGCTTTCGCGAGGAAGGGTTCACTAAGACGCCAACGACGCGGTACTGCTCTGTCTTGCCCAAAGCCGCTGCACGATGGTAATCAACATAGATATCATAATGATTGTTCAGCAACTTGCTCCCATCTTTATCAACCTCGCCCAAGAAGAATCCAGGGCTATAGAACTCCTCGTCTGTCTGCGGATCCTCGCTCAGCTGCGCCGCAGGGAGCCCATCTATAAGCAAATTCACATTGTACCCATCCCATATTCTCTGATTGACGAAACTACTGCTCGCCGGGTCAAACACGACCTCCGGGCAAAGCAATTTGCAGGTTTCGTTCTTGGCCATGAAGATCTCAAACGGAGATGTCTGGATGCGGTCGCCGAATATAATACTGCCGAGTGATTCTCTGACATCCTCTGGCCCGTCTTTAGGCCGGCAGAACATAAAGTCCGAGTAATAGTAGTCATATGAAATTATGGAATGGAGTTGAGCATCGTGTTCAGAGACAGTTGGTGAGACGCGGTTTACATGGAGCGGAACCTTTTGGCCGACTTCGTAGGAGGTTGGCGCAACACCCGGAAGATAGAACGCCGATGAAAAGTGTGGATAGAGGAGTAAGAGGGGGGAAAGGAGGTGAAGGGTATTTGGAAACGAGGGCCGCATTTTGAGATATTACCTAGACTGAGAGACTTGTCATCAGCACATGTTCTCCGCTGGAGGGTTCGCTGTCCAACTCAACCTGACGAACCGATTGCTGGTGGCTATGTATGTGACGGTTATATATAAGCGCTGAAGAAGTCACGAATTCATGAGTGTCAATGCAAATGGAGCGGAGAACAGATGCAGTCAACTCATATCTCGCCAGCAATAAGAATGAGCAGATGCCACAACACCGAAGACAGAATGGAAAGAAAAGGGAGTGCGTGTGAGTGAGCGAGCGAGAGAGACAGAGAGAGAGACAGCACGTCAAGGCAGCTGTCCAAATTGGAGCTTCGGCTTATGTAACCAACTAACAGGGTGATTACATCAGCCAAGCACGGCGCATCGCCTGGAACGGGCAGCGAGGAGCGACGGGGGGCGGGAGAAGAGTGAACAGGGGGCGATGATGGCCTCGCTGGCTCGAGTTTTAATGTTATAAATTCACTTTGCTTTCTTAAGTTCTCGTACACGCAGGGGTACTAACTAATAACTAGTAGACGCCGGAGCCCAAGAATCACTCAACCAAGCAATATTCAAAATCAGACCTACACCGCCATCAGTCATGCAAAGGCCCGCCAAGAGAAAACAGAACTTCGGCGTTTCGTCAAAAAGAAAAAAGGAGGGAGGAAAAAAAAGAAAAAAAAAGAAAGGAACGGAAAGGGGAAAGGAAAGGAAAAAAAGAAAAAGAGAGAAAAAGAAAAATAGTACAAGAAGAGGAGTGATGTCAGATAGGCGGAGCAACAGCAACGGTTTCTCCAAGCCATTCGTGTAGTGGGCGGGGCGCGACGCCCCCTATATGCCGGGAAGCTTGAGGCTGGAAACTGAACCCCGCTATGCCGTCGATGGACCTGGACGGGCGAATATGAACATTTAGCGGGGAAGGGACGAAAATACGGCGCTTCGTGCCAGCGGGGAGTGGTGATGCGAACTCCTAGCAGGCTGGAAGCTCATTGCCGGCCGCGACCTTCGAGAACCTTGCCTTGCGGCGAAGGAAACACACCGATAACACAAGCCGTAACTAAACAATTCAGGTACAATGGCAAGTGACGCCCCACCATAAAAAGGGCAAAAAGAGTTCGTAGAAAAGGTCAAGGGGACATTTCGTGCAGGATCGTACATCTGACATGCTAGAGGAAACAAGGTGTATGTATCATAAGAATTGGGAAACATAATGAAACGGAAGGATATATTTACTGGGAAATGGGGATCGCCTTTCTTGGGAAGGGGGCAAAAAAAAAAAAAAAAAAAAAAAAGGAAAACAGGGACGATCCAACAGGTTGGAAAGGCTGCAGCTATCAGAGGAAACGAGCACGCAAGGCGGCTAAACAAGGCCATCGTAAAGCGATAGGGCGCTGACAATGGTCTCGTCCCGCTTACTGCCCTCCTTGAATTCGGCGATGTCCAGGCTTCCGTTCTCATCCTTATCCATCATCCGGAAGATCTTCTTGACGCGCTTTTCAGGGGTATCTTCATCTTCTGGGAGCTTCACCATTGACCCAACCTGCAAAAGTTGTTCAGAACCAAATAAGCAGCAAGGGTAGCCAATTGGGGCGGATGGGTTATCTCACCATTTTATATATAGCCTCGACTATCGCGAGCATTTCATCGTAGCTGATCTTCCCGTCGCCATCGATATCGTACAGCTGGAAAGCCCAGTCTAATTTGTCTTCCATTCTGCCGCGGGAGGTCACCGATAGGGCGCAGATGAACTCTTTAAAGTCGATCATGCCGCTATTATCGGAATCAAATACTCTGAAAACGTAGTTCGCAAAAGAGGACGGGTCGCCAAAGGGGAAGAACTGCCGGTAGATCTTTTGGAATTCCTCCTTCGTAAGGGTGCCGGAGGGGCAGTCCTTCAGGAACCCTGCGTGGAGAAAGATCGTCAGCATCGCTCGGTGTGTAGGAGTCGGCCCAAGAAACCAACCGGGAACATACCTTTATACCATTGCTGCAACTCCTTCTTGTCGAAATGGGTCGCTTTTTGAAGTTCATCAAGTTGCGAGGGGGACAACTTCGACTGTCTAGAGAATGCGCGGGGATGGTCAGCGAATTGCAGCGAATTGCCAAGGGTGATTCATTCCAGGGCATGCCACTCCATGCGCCCATTTAGAGATCCAGCCGCGTATCGGTGCTCAAACAATGCGTATAAAGGTGAAAATATGGGGAAGAAAGAATAAAAGAAAAGAACAGAGAGGAGGGTTTCCGCGAGGGCGAAAATGCGAAACACGGGAGAGAAGTGGTGAAGAGGCACTCGACAGGCCACTTCGAACAGCACAAGCCGGATTGGCACTTACGACTTCCCCATGGTTCCCGGTAAGAATGTTCAGAGTGTGTGTGTGTGGAGGAGACTAAGTAAATGACGTTCTCCTGTTGTTGGTAGTGGGACTGGGATTCAGCGATTCGGTTGCGAAATTATATAAGTACACATCCAAAGGACGGCGGGGTAATAGCTGGAGATGGCGGGCGCGTTGCTGGTTGGGCGGTGGACGCTTGTAGAAAATCAAATGGGCGAATGCGAGGCAATTGGGGAGTTTCAACTGAGAGAAGGTAAGGAGAGCGTGGAATGGAGTGATAATGAGAATGAAAAGGCGGTGGCTCTGTGTTAGACAGCTTGCTGGGCACTCTCTGGATGGCAGTGGTGGTGGTAGCGGTGGTGGTGGTGATGCTTGCCGCTGACTTGCTGGGGTGGGAGAGACGGAGATGCAATCCAGACGAGCCTCACCAAACTCCGGAACCAGCTTAAGCATGCCAAGCCACCTAGGCGCCCGCTGATCCTCGCCGCCCGCCGCGCAGTTTGGAAATCCGCTGCTCAGGTCTCTCCTCTTGGGTGCGCGGGCAATAACACAACAACTTACGGTCAAAGGTGCTTGGGCGAAGGCTCTCTGTGAAGCAGTGAAAGTGTCGACTCGAACCCATGAAATGCACTAACTACAGGGTACATCAGAGCTAATACCCAGCTACAAACCACATTCATAGGTATTTGTGCAAGTACTGCATGCACAGTACATAGCCACTACTGGCCCCTGGGGATGCATAGACAGTCAATGAATATGAAACTGCTTGTTGGCCCCAGGCAACAAGAAGCCAGATTGTTTGTTAACTAATGATGCTCCAACCAAGAACCAACAAAAGGTTTCCGTTTGCTCGCCCGGTTTGAGCGCTGCGCCTTGGTTAGTTATTTGTAATATGGATGCTGATATTCCAGGATTCTTTTACTGCTGTCACTGATTGACTTGCATATGCTCTTCATAAGGCACCTCCCTTCCAGTTAACAGCTAAGATGACAGTGCATGATGACTCGGCAAAAGCACAAGCTTGATGGGGTATCTCTGGTATGTGTTCAGCAACAGGAGGACAGTTCTCGCGCTAATTCCCAGCATGCAGGCCGAACTTTGGGCTCTGTGGCCTAGGGGGCTGCTATTGATGCAATTGAACATCAGCCTCTCTCATTTTTGCCGAATTCACAAATCTGTCGACAGGAACACGAACTGAAGGCATACAAGACTCCCTCTAGCCAACATGGATTTGAATCTCATGATTGCAGCGGGGGAATGTGCTATTAAAGTACATGGAAGATCTCTCTGGATGGATGAAGTAGGAGAAATAAGGATGAGCGGGATTATCGTGGATCTTGAGACACCTTTCGATCCAAAAGCTGTGGATGCCCCTCAACGCAAGGCTTTTATGGACCAGATGAGCTCAGTCTTACACAAATTTCACCGCAAAGGAATTGTTCATGGTGATATTAAGCCTGCTAACTGTCTGCTCTGCACGGTTAGCTGGCCCCGCCTGTGTGATTTCAGTGAAGCGATTGGGGTAGACAAAGATTCTAGCAACTGGAGTGGATTGACGACAGCAAATTATATATCGCCCCACCGGACGCGGAACTGACCTAATGGTCCTAATCCTCCTCCAACAATTGAAGATGATCTCCATAGCCTTGGCCTATGTCTTCTACACAGGGAAAACGTCCTTTGAGGACTAGAAGGAGGATGATATCATGCGGGCTCTTCAGCAGGGGGAGACAAGTTGATGTGGATGGGGTAGATGACAAGTATGTAAAACCTGTAACTTGCCACTATCTGAGATATGGTGGTGCAAAGATCTAGTTACCTTGCTGTGGATCTATTTAGGAAAGATATCTATCCTGTTGCTTAAGGGAAGTGGTTTTTGACAAACAAAGTCTGATTAGAACATGTCTGTATGGGTGATATGATAGTGGATATACTCACCAAAAGCTCTCTCTAGGACAGCTATCGGAAATGCGTTAGAGACTTAGGCCCGGGTTTTGGTGAATATCCTATAGGATGGCGGTAATCTATCTGCTCATACCTATTTATTTACCCACAGGTATTTGCCTCATGTGGTTTTCTGTAAGATTTTCGTCCGAGTCTTAATTCCCTAATTTTAGCTAGTTAGTTGAAGAGTCTGCTCACTAGATGTTCAGCAAGCTATCTGTGTACGGGGTATGGGGTACGGAGCAACTCATTCAAGGGGTTCGTGTTCATAAAGCTTAGAATGCCTATTTTTAACAATCTCGGGGCAGTCCACTTCCTTGTCACTCCCCGGGCAATAGTTCTTCCATAGGGCCACCTTTCCAAGGAACTAACTAGTTACCCTAAGGCACCTGTTGCTTGCCCGAGTCTCCTGTCCGTCTGCTGCCTGCTGCATCGCCGACTCTCCTTCACCCACGCATCTCTCGCTCCCACTCCCCATCTTTTTCTGGATTCATTGTCTGTACGGAGTTGCTCCATACCTATCCGAGTTTTATTGATCTTTCCTATCTAGCCATGTCGAGCGCCGTCTCCACTGCGGCTCACCATCTGGTGAAGAGGGCTGTATCCGAGATGCCGCGAGCGATCCGGATGGTCCGCCAGCCCAACAGCCCTAGCGGCGATACCGACGGCGACGGAAAGCCCCAGGGATCTCCCATGGCTCTGTTCATACTGGCGACGACGACGTTTGCTTTCCTACTTGTCCTAGGCATTGTAAGTGGCTCCATACAAACATAACCGGTTCGTCCCAGTGAAAGCTTATTCGCTGACGGACGGTCGTCTCAGATCAGCTACACACTTGGTATGATCGTGCCCACTCTGGCTATCGTCGAAGATCCGCAACCCGCAGCGTACGTCTCGATTGACAGCGTGGATGACGATGGACGGCCGAAAACCCTTCCAGGAGCTGATTCCGAACACTTGGTTCAGAAAGGCCCCATAACCACAAAGATTAGGACTACCCTCAAACATCTCAGGGCTCGCGGGGGTTTCTGGGCCCCTTTCCGCGGAATGGCTGTCTTCCTGCTCTACGTCTTTTCGCGCTCAATCCTCGTCAACCTCTTCTCCTTTGGTGCTTCATATTCGCACCTCCTTACCCGCTCCTTGGCCACCATCGCAGCAGAAGTAGCACTCACTGCCATCAGCTTGACCTGGGTTCACACGGTCATCTCGGAGCCATCGGCCAACGCCCGACCGTTCTGGAGACGTATCCCCGCGTATCGCATCTGGAGAAAGGTCGTTCCCGCGGTTGCCCTTCAGTCAGTGGCGTCTCAGATCTGTTTCCTCATCCCCCTCTATCTCGGTATCGCCATTCACAGCATTCGCATGGACGACGAGTCCCTCGTGAAAATGCCACAGCTCAACAGGCCCACCGCCGGAACAGCAGCAGGCTCGATTGCTATCTTGCTGCTCACGCTTGCTTTGACTGTCCTGATTGAGATCCCGGCCACCGTCACCATGATCCGTGTTGCTGCTTCGGCGCTCTCGCCGGATGTTGACACCATCGTTCCCTTTGATCGTACGTTTAACGGAAAAATCGAGCCCGCCGTGCTGGGTGGGGGTTGTCTAGGAACGCTCGATGCATGGAAGAGTTTCACCTGGCCGTCGCGCGTCCGCCTCATGAAGCTTGTTGCCAAGTACTTTGCCATAACCATGGCCGTCGGTTTCGCGTTTGGTGCGATTCTCGCTGTAGAGATTGTCACCGTCGCAGGCGGAACCGTTGACAAAATTTTCGACGGAAAGAACTAACTCATCATCTTTGTTCAACGGTTCCCGCACTGGCACATCCGCACATCCGCCCCTTTTCCCTACCTTCCGCACTATATATTTATATCCTTATCTTCCCTTTGTATCCAGTTGCAACATGATGGCGCGGCTAAGTGGCCATTGACTTTTTTTTGGTCTTATTGTATTGATCCTGTTCCCCCCCCCAAGGATGGGCTCTTTTATCAGGCAGACAACTATGAAATAACGTGCGACTTGCAACCTTTGACTGTTCCTAAGTAAATATTTGCAGTGAAGACTGGCTCAACAGCCGCAGATAATCTAGTTAACCGCTCTGTGCTTTGTATTCTCTTGGGTGAATATCGTTTCCATCAACGGGCGGGACCATAGAACGCAGCTAGCGACGGGCCGCCTTCCCGGTCATCCTTATAACTGAATGGTATTGACCTAACTTATTACTTCGCGGGTCGAAGCTGACTTCCCGTGGGCCATCGCATCTCGCAACCTCGTTTTCGCCCCATGCGCGTGTGAGCGGTTCACGTGGGGAGAAGGAGCCTGTTATTAAGAAGACCCTCGTCCGCGACTCCCGCTGTTTTGTTTGCTTTGTTCGGCGCCACCGCCGCCGCCCGCCAGCAAAAAAATCCCAACCGCATCCCAATCCAATCCAATCCATCCCACCCCCGCATAGTTAAGAGTGAAATAATAATATCCAAAATTGCGGATCAATACTCATCCTATCTCGCCTGCATTTGAGTTTCCTCCTGCTCTTCTTTCTTTTCAGCAAACTTGTGAACTTTTTGTTTTTAACTGTCATTTCTCGCTCCGTTTCCCCAGAGCCATATAAGTAGTTCCATTTGCTGAGATTATTGTACCGAGCGAACGGCAACACCTCTTCGACCAGACTGATCCATCTTCAAACCTTCTCTGTCCCCTCCGGAAACGATCCCTCTTATATTAACCCTCCACGATCGAATAGAGAGGAAATGGCGGCATCAGCAGCAGCGGGCTTGCTGGGCCGCCAGCTCAAGCAGATGCAGACGGACAAGGATATTCCGGGAATAAGCTGCGGTCTGACGGACGAGAATAACATCTTCGAGTGGGAGGTCATGCTGATGATTTCTGATGAGTGCAAGTTCTACGGCGGTGCGTGCAGCACACAGAGCGTCCATGAATGAATCTCTCCTGTTAAGTCTGTTCGATGCTGACACGGGGGCGTCCAGGTGGCTTCTTCCGTGCCCGGCTGTCATTTCCTCCTGAATACCCGCATTTGCCTCCGAAAATGAAGTTTGAACCTCCTATCTTTCATCCAAATAGTGAGTTTCCTCCTTCTCCGCTGTGTTTTGCATTCATGCATGTGCGTGTGTGTGTGTGTACCGCCCCAGTAGAAAGTAACTTCTGATCTCAGACGGGAACTAACGAATCATGCTTCCTTGTTTGTCCTCAGTTTACCCCAACGGTGAAGTCTGCATCTCCATCCTCCACCCTCCCGAAGAGGACAAGTACGGTTACGAATCCGCCGCAGAGCGCTGGTCGCCCGTGCAAACGCCCGAGACGATCTTACTGTCGGTGATCAGCATGCTGAGCAGCCCGAACGATGAGAGCCCAGCTAATGTGGAGGCGGCAAGGCTATGGAGAGAGGATCCAAAGGAGTTCAAGAGGAGAGTGAGGCAATGCGTTAGGGAGAGCTTAGGAGAAGAGTAGTGCGACGTTGGAGAGATTGTGAAATGCTCTTTTCCTTGGGGACAATTGAAATGGGCAGAGACGAGACAGCCGATGGCTGTTTCTTTTATCATTACCATCATTATCTTTGCACTTTTGGAGGTTGTCTATTGCATTTATCTATGCAGTGTTAAATGCCATCGTCAATCATTTCGTCTTGACCGGCTTCTATAGAGCCATAGGCGCTTTCAGCACGGCAAACCATCAGCGAAAGTAGACAATCCAAACCACAATGAAACCAAAGTCAGATATCGGCGGTCGAGGAAGTCCGGCTTTGCATGTCGCAGGCGCATAGAGTGCTTGTCCCGATGCATCTGGCCCGTTGAACAAGCTTGAGCTTCTGCCGCAGGATCTCCGAAAAGTCACTCCTGCCCGTATCATTCTCTTTCAAGGGATAAATATCATTCTCTCACTTTCTCTCCAGTGCTGTAGGGTAAGATCTTAACGGCCTAGGCACATTTGACACATCATCTGACCTGGAGACAGATAACGTTGTTTAACTATCGAGAAGCTGAGATTCACCAAACATGCTTCAGCTAGAGTGAGCGGCTAAATATCATATGACGACCAGTCAAAACATCCGCCAGGGCCCCATGGGATTTCCACCCCTTCCTCAATTTCCCCTTTTCTCTTCTTTTTTTTTTTTTTTTTTTTTTTTTTTTTCTTGAAAGGCTCACCCAAGTCATAATAGTTAATAGTAAGTTGTTATTTGCATTTATACTGGACTGTGGGAGGAACCACCTCATTATTACAAAGTTCAGGCCCATCCAAACCCATGGTATAATATGAAGTCCCATTTCAAAATATGTTGCACGGCGTTTAAAGGATAAAACACGGTTCTGGTATCTCATAAGCCATTCGTGATTAAAAAAGAATTAATAAGAAAGAATAAAGAATAACACCAGCCAAATTTCGCCAGTGAGGGTGAAAAGAAAACAAAGCATGCTACGCTCGTCTCGCCAACTTCCCATACAAGACAACAAGTGGCATTAGGTGGCATTAGGTGGTAAGTGTACCTATTCTTTTTATTTTTTATTTTTTTTATTTTTTTGTATTATTGTTGTCATTTTTTCTCTCTTCGCTTTGGGTTCGATTACATGGCGAGAAGAGCGATGAGACCAAGAGCTCCAGCGACGCCAGGTGCAGCAGTTGTCATGACGCGACCCGCAGCTCCTTCAGCTGGCGTGGTTTGGCCTGGGGGAATTTCAGTCTCAGTAGGGCTCTCGGTGGTCGTTTCAGCGACCGAGCCAGAAGTGGGTGTGCCGGTGAGGCCGGACGTGGGACTGGCCGTGCCGTTGGAGTCGCTGACTTGTGTGTAGAGAGTGGTAGAGCCGACGGTGGTTTCAATAACCTCAGTGCCGGAAGTCACGGTGGAGACGATGGCAGAGGTAGTGTAGGCGGATGACTCCCCACCAGGGACAATGCCAGTCTAGTTAAGCTGTCAGCTCGGACATGTTTACGAATCTGGAACTGCATGGGACTTACAGTCTGGGTAGCAGATGGAGAGCCGCTGGTTTGAGTAGAATCAGTGCCATGGGTGCCAGTAGGAGTACTAGAGGCAGTCTCTGATGGAGTGGAATCGGGGCCATCAGTGCCAGTAGGAGTGCCAGTAGGAGTGCCAGTTGCAGTATCTGACGCAGTACCGGACGCAGTCACTGAAGAAGAGTAGGTGTTAGAGTGCCGCGTTTTGCATGAGAGAAGGTATGCACCCACTGGAGCCGCCTTCGGAGGCACAAATCGCTTGGCCAACAGCAATGATTTTTGGAAGGTCCTCGGCCCCGCAAGCCTGCAGGGTACAGTCACGAAGACCAAAGGCAAAGTTCTGCTTGCTGCAGAGACACGCCTTGTCAGTGCTGTCGCAGCCGAGTTCGGAAGCTTTGTTCAACATATTGTTGATGCACATGCGCTATGACAATGGGGTCAGCGTCGGCACCTCGGGTTAATGCACACGGCGCAGTGAACGGTGAGCTCTTACTCCGCATTCAGAAATGTCATCCAGGTTCTGGGCTGCACCAAACGCGGCACAGAGCGCGATGGAAAGAAGCGCGGTGGCCTTCATGCTGAATTTTATCAGGCTGGATTCTAGAGGGCTATGACCGGATATTCTGTAGGTTCAGTGACAGGAGAAAGGGAAAAGCTGAAGTTAACGGAGATGCAAGGTCTGTTCACCAGAAGATATTGGAGTGGAAGGAAGCAAATGATAAACAAGAGAAGAGGAAGGGAGAAAGACAAGAGGAAAAAGGGAGAAAAAAAAAAAAAAAGAGAGAGAGAGAGGAGCGTCAAAGAGGGAGGAAGGTCACACATATGGCATTGTGTAATTCCGCTAGCCCAGTTGCCATGGGGGAAAAGTTCTATCTAGTCAAGGTTGTGCCCGTGTGCTGTACAACATCGGTGTATGGAGGCACCCAGTGACAGCTCACCGAGCAAACAGCAATCATCAATTAGCTTTCAGAGGCTGATCCACTTGGTCAGTTTTCTACTTTGTGGCGAGAATGAATTGGGTATGAGGTTGATCCCAGGCGCATGTCTTTTTTACCCTCGGTCCAAATGAGGCAAGCAAATAGACATAGAAATGGTTCACTATTTACTCAGACCTTCACAAAGATGGAGCTCTGTTTGCAGGTTTTCCATAAGTTATGTGAGGGGCTAGACAAGTTCGACACCAGAAAAGACTGCTTGAGCAAAGATGCAGGTTGAAGCTGGGCAGGCACAGACAGCTCAACTGATCTGTGGGCTTAAAGAGTGGGTGTCGATCGGATGCAGCTCCACCAGCAGTCATTGGCCAGCATGCAGTCCACTTCTAAACTCTTCCAAATTTTTTCCTCCCTTTCTTTCTTTTTTGCCTCCTCCTCGCACTTCGATAGGATTATCATCGAAAGGCGCCATGGGCAGATTACGGGGTATCATTCGGGCAGTCCCGGGATCCAGCAAGACATAGAGCCCCATTCCTGTTCGCTTCATCCAAGCAGGAATTGAGAGGCGTACTCTGGAGACGGTCCGTACAGGAGACCTACAAAGAAACGAGCTTTTGCCACGGTGGTGGAGCGTGAGAGACTGCTGCCATGGAACTGTTAATAAGCATGAACATGACATGAGATCATCAGCCAGGTTTTCCAAGGGACTCTTTCCAAGAGGAATGACGAACATACGAGAAGGCCCCCCTGTTGTCGCGATCAGCACGAGCCGCCGACCTCTGCTGCTTGACGCGTGAAATGAGAGCAGAGGGAAACAAAAAAGCAAAAAACAACTTCCGGCGGCAGGGTGAGATCATCGCGCGGGGGCTGGCTGGGGTGGGCAGCGCTAGGCCGAGCTTGGGTAGGGTATATTGCCACAGTATCTACCCCAGCCACGAAGAGTATCACAGCCACATGGCAGAATCGTGTTTCACCGCCCTCAAAAGCCACAGCGGATCATCTTAAATTCCGCCAATCGGATCAACGTTGTTCCCCACTCAGCCTCTTTGTTAGGTAATCCAACTAGCACCTCGCTCACGTGACCCACATAGATTAGCCAGATTCCCCTTTAGGTAGCTTAGCGAATGACAAGCATACAAGTCCTCCATCAGGTTATAGCCCTTTGTGCTGAAGAGCAAGTGTATAAGGTTGATTTACAGCTCAATTGGTTATTGAAGCTTATGATCAACACCCTGAATGGTTATCCTTGTGGATAATGAGGTTTTATGAGCACTAAAGAGAGCATATGTTGAGATAGACATCTTCTATACATGCAAACCCCTGTAGCTTTCTAGCACTGAGCTGAAGAGTGAGTTGAACTAGGCTGGTATTGAAGCGGGGTATGATGGGATGCCTCATCAAAGTAGGCGAGTTGGTTGAGATGGTGAGAGCGCAAGAAGGATGAAAAATCACAACATAGTAAGAATGGTAATGGCTGAGTAGTAAGAACAGAGAAGCATGCCTTAACAGACACCTAAGCTCATAAGGAATAATAGTACTAAAGAGCCTGTACTAACACAGGCAGCTCTAATGAGGAACAGTGGTAAGCTTCATGAACAAGAGATCTTCATATTCTCTAACTAATAACCAAACTAGCAATAAAGAATGAGTGTGTGGAAAAGTACAAAGATGCACAAAGGTATTAAGCAAGATGCAGGGGCTATAGGTAGTTTATATAGCTCAGAGATAGTAGCTGGGGGGGTTTTGTGTCTTGGACCGGAACAATCTTTGTCCTAATATGATACCAGAATCTCCACTACATTTCCTCCTGGCTTTCACTGTTGGTGTCCCCTGACAACAGGCAACATATGAAACAAAATAAAGGCAATTTAGTAAAGAAAATAAGAGGCTAAGAATTAGTAACAATCTGGTAAGAAAAGAGATAGGAAATAAGAATAAAGAGAGTGACAGCAGCAATCTCTAATAGTGATTATCATGATTCTCTTCTTCCATCAAGTTCTCAGGAGAAGGGGAAGGCCAAACTGACACTGGATCAATGTTGTTGTGCACACAATGCCAATAGAATTTGTTACCAAAAGCTTTCTTTTTAATTTGGTATGTCTTGACAATGGCATCCAAAGCAATTTGTGTGGCCTTTAGACACCAGTTATTAATGAAGTTCTGAGTCTTCTTCTCTTCTGGTCCAAAGAGGGTATCAAGCTCCTCAATCACTATAGGGTTGTCCCATTTAATTCAGTCTACCAAGGCATCCAATATAGCTCCTAAGTCTTGCAATTGAATTACAGTAGGGAATCAATATGGAACTGATGTGTAACAGTTTGAATGGCCAGAAGATGATGATGGCCCTGGAACTAGATCCCTATGTGCAGCAGAGAGCTGTGACCAGATACCAGCTTTATTGACTTCAAGATGTTCATGGTCCTCCTGAATTGCCACATACCAGGGTAGCATAGTACACTGGACCTTTTTGCATGGACCATGAGCTCCATGGGGCAGCAGAGGGCTTGTAATTCAGATATCACCAGGTTTGCAAATGATGTCAGTCCATCTAATACCAAATTTTCTTTCATCATCTTTGGTATACATTGTATTCTTAATGCAGTGAACATAGCCATCAGTAGATAAGTCTCATTCTTCAACTAGTCCCCACTAATTCTCTAGATGGTTATGCATTCCTGGCAAGATTTCTGTGCAGTTGCCAGACTCTTCTGCCATTAAGGTCAAGAATTCTTGTATCATGTTAACACCCCTTCCAGTAGTAATAGCATCTGGAACATTGACATCAATATGGTGAAATCCAGTTTTATCCCCTGGCTTAGCATACTTGGCATAATATGGATAGGAGATTAATTTCCAAGTGTGGTCAGGTCTTGTCAGCACATACCATAGATAATATGCAGGGTCCTGGTGCATGAGTTGTTGGCCAATACTGTGGTACATTGTTCTCAACCATTCATAATTATCACAACCTCCCATCATTCACTAATGATGGTAGTACATATTGTATTCACCATTGATCTGAGTGAGTACTGTGGTGGTGGTGCCTTGTAACCTATCATTCCACCAGTGCATTAGCTGGAGAATAACAACAGATCCAGTGGTCTCCCATTCCTTCTGAAGATTGCTGGTGGTGAACTTGTTAACTTCAGTGATCTGTGTGTATTGGTTAAAGTTAAACATTCTCATGTTTGCAACCAGAGAGATAATTGGCTGATGTTTGAATTTATAAATGCCTAAAGCATCTTCAGCTCTAGCCAGTCTATTTGCCAAACAGAACCAGAGGTAGGTGCTGTCATTGGTCTTGACTGAGCCAATGTTGTGACAATTTCTATGGATGTGAGCCAAACAGTTGAGAAGCTCCTTTCTATTAAGTGTGCGAGTCTGCAACCCAAGTTTTGAAGCTATTAGTTTTGCATGGTCATAGTATAGGTAGATATCAGCTTTCTTATCACTAAATGCCTTTCCTAATTGCTCCAGAATGCAAATAAGCTCCAATTCTGAACACATTTTAATACTCTTTATCTTTTGCAGGAGTTGCTGTTCAAATCCACAGCAACAGCAAGTACCAGAGCATACTGTCATGACAGATTCTTCACACTTGTGTCAAGGTATCTCTTTATCACTTTCAGAAGGAATAACAGACTCATCATCATCATCTAAGCCTTGAAGAGTTTGATGTGCCAACATGGCTGCAATTCTTTCACTGCAGCACTTCAGAGCTTCTGATTGGCTGGATGGATTGGCCAGCACACTGGTGAATCCAAATGGCAGCTGTGATTAGCCAGTTTCAAATCCATGTGATCTAATCAACATTGTGCTATGTATAGAGGCTCCCAACACATTGCGGCTATGTGGCATAGACATTCCACTCATTGGAACATCTCTTGGCAATCTTGGAGACTGCAGTCCTTCCAGTAGACCTCAGGGGCTGCTTGCAGTGGGAGGGCTCCTAGCAATATCCTGAATTGAACATTGGGAGCTAGATGACTGTGGAAGAGCCAACAGCTGTAGAAGACCATAGTTGCCAATGGTAAGGCCCTGTCAGCATAGAGCATCTCTTGAAGAAAGTTTGCATACACAGTCAACTTCTTTGTCAGCTGTAGTATAATCACCTGGCAATATAGCTAAGCTCCAGCAATGTCCAGCCTCTGTAGCATCTAGTCTTCAGAGCACTGCACTGTTAATATTATTGGCAAACTTATTCCAATTCTTGTAGACATTTAGGGTATGGCAAAGCTTTTGTGCTGCCCACAGGCTCTCTACTTTTGACCATATGGCATCAATCCTGTCAATACCCCATGTAGCAACAAGTCTATCCTTGATCTTTTGCATATCAATGCAACATCATTCAACATCCAGGGTAACCTTTCAAGCATCATGGAAATCAGCTTCAAAATTAGTGTGTATAACATGTTGCCAAGCTCTGAATCTTTCAACATATCAATAGAAATGGGCCACTAAGTCAGTAACCACATCAGTCACTCACATCAGTGCGTTCATTAGCTCAATCTGTAGGCTGTAGCAATGGTGCAGAGCTTGGTTATCAATGTATTCCATAGCTGCTGTTAGATTATTGAAGAAATGGCCATCCAGGTTGACTCCACTGTCTCTGGTAACAACCAGGCCTTGGTTTTTGGGTGCAGGG